AAAAAGCTGATCTATATAGCCAAGGTATTGTTAATAATACTTTTCTTTGGATGCTGTCTGGTATGTTTTTTATTTTCTTTTTACCTGCAGTAAACAATGATGTTACAGACACTTCAAGACGATCTAATGTGCTCAGCCTTATAATTGCTGACCCGATATCACAAGCACCATTTATTAACGAAGGTTTAAGGAGTATGTACTTGTAGTTTTTAATCTATCTCGACTGACAAAGGAGAAGACGATAGCTTTGACTTTGACGCAATTCGTTTGCATACAACAGGTGGTAGACGATGCTACTTGTTTGGTAAAAAAGGCGCAATATGCAAATGGTAAAACGAATGAGAATAAGTATTATCCAATAGAAAGCAACAGTCGATGCATAACCTTGACAAATCAGGCATATGTCTATGATTAAAATGTCATTAAAAAAAAATACTTAAACTCAGGGTCGCTTTGAAGTTTCGAAATGTCCTCAGTAAAATTTGCTACAAACGCTTAGTCCAAATCCTTCTTTGAGCCTATGTATTTTTCTGACAGTTTCTTGGCTTTTATATGACGTCTCCTCCAGCTTGACAACCATAGAAAAGCGTGAAAGTAGAGGACTTCATCTTTTAAAAGTAGATGATGTCTCTTTGTCTACTGCCAGATTATAAGATACAAAAAGACAACCACACATTGTTTCGGAAAGAAAGGCCTGTATTTTAATGCTAAAAAGAGTAATATGTACATTTCACTTCAATAAAATATAATCGTCGTCATCGTCGCCGTCATCGTCGCCGTCATCGTCGTCTTGCTTTAAACAACAAGTCCAGCAGTGGCCAAATTGTTTTTTCTCCCAGCCTTTGTGACACTTGATTTCTTCAGGACCGCAAATACGCAAGCAGATTGGGGGTCCACCAGCCGTTAAGTCAGAGTGGCATTTACGAGATGGGTAGTAGTCCATTAAGCGATAACCTTCAACAGTGGATTTGACCATAAGAGAGCCAAAAGCAAAGATAACAGCAGAGATAACCTTCATGTTTTTCAACTCGTGTATGATGGAGTAAAGAAAGCTGATGAGAATAGATCGTAATCCTTATTTATACTTGAAAAAGCGCCGGCGTATTTATCTGAAACCTGCTTAGGGCGATTAATCAAGGGCTTTCACCTTGGCCTTGCATATAATCATGAAGCATAGCATTACTTATCCGCATGGAAATGTATTACATGGATACGATAACCTTAAAGAGAGTCAAAGTATACAACAAACATAAACATTTGTAGCAGCTCACGAAGGATAATAGGCGCGCTAAGAACAGTGCCACTCTATGAAAGGCAGACTATAAATATTATGCAGCCTTAACTACTTGGAGTAGTTAATCAGGGTAAATAACTGTGCCATCTTCAAGGATTACAAAAGAGGAAGCAACAGGGGATATATCCTTGAACGTCAAGTGGTTCATTCTAGGCTAAGCTGGATGATCTATAATAAGCCCAGAATATTCCACTGACATCTCCATGCTCGAATAGACCCTTCACTTATTTTTTGCATATGCGGAAATAGACTTCACCATCCTCTGCTTTTTTCTTTTTACTAAATGACAATGTGCAAAACGTACATTGCTTATTTTATTGAATTGATTCTCTATTGAAACAATCATCAAGCTTAAGAAATACAATATGTGCAAAACCTTTTAAGAGTATTTATGTGAGCATGATCGCATGCGCTACAGATTACAGTATGTTTCGTTGAGTAACCTTATCATTGTCTTGTACTTATCTTTAGTAAATTTGTTTTTTGGAGTGAAACTGGCACTTTTATTACTGCTATTATTGATTCATAGTGAGGCTTTTATGCTAGACGTCTTTTCTTAAATATCTTTGCTGAATGTGGCTCATTTGAAATATGTTAAGGTCTTGATCCGGTTTATCGACTTTTTCTTTTCTTTGACATCGAAAGCTGAACAAATCTATCCAAGGTCATTGGCAAATATCACCTTTTCAAGTCTATTTTGAAACTTTATAGTAATATCATCCATTCTGATGATAGAGTGCCGTTTCTGAAAGAGGTAGTAGTGGATCTGCTTAGTTTTGTTGTTATTTGCATGATTTAGAGGTTGATCTGAAGTCAAATGCGGGTATTCCCAGAGTAATTACTCTTTCAAACGCCGCCTAAGGTAACTGCATTTACTCCATGGTTAGAAACACATTTCAAAAGAAAAAGAGAAAAAGAAGACGCCTAAGAGTCAAATCTTTCTATATATCATTTCTAGAGTTTAAAATCCATATACAGTAGATTCTCGATTACAGAATACATCAATACGGAATACTCGCAATATCGGAATGCCATTTTCGAAGGACTTTATAGCCACTGCTTTAAATTTCCTATGATATTCACCTGGATTGTCGATGTACAAGCTTTATTACGGAGCTTCCTTGATTACAGAATTTCATTCGTGCTCTCTGTAGGTATTCCATAATCGAGAGTTTACTTTAGTGCTTAAATTTTGACGCTTCAAACATAATCCTCTTCCTTAAATATATGCTTATAACTATAAACAAGTATATGGTTTGCTCAAATGTTGATCTGTTACATGCTCAAAATTAATAGAAATTGAAACAAGTAGCACATAATTTACTAATATCAATTATTAGTTGTACAATCCACTAATCTTTGGTTAAATCAATTACACAGTGTTATATATATACGACGTTGAGGTAGCTGATAACTTGATTTTGAAAGAAGCTATTACTGAAATACAATGTTATTGCTAGCGATAATATTATATATTACTTCTGGTCTGTATTAAAAGCGTTTATGACTTCTTAAGAAGTGATCACCAATGTAATACACATCATCATTTATTATTGCCATACTCTTTGACTATGAGTGCCTATCCCGAGGTAATATCGCATAATATTTACTTTGATCTGATCATGAAACTATATGGACTTCAAGTGTATAAATAGCTGACTCACTTCTTTTAAATAATGGGATCAACCACTTGTTTCTCTTTTTTTGCAATGAAGCTCTTTGCTATTGCCTCCTCTGCCATTTTAGCTCTTGCTGTAAGCACAGAATTAGTTGCTGCTGAGTGTAGCAAAATGTATGGACAATGTGGTGGTAAGGACTGGAAAGGTCCTACATGCTGTGAAGCCGGATCCCATTGTGTTAGCTCGCCTGGTAATCCATGGTATTCTCAGTGTCTCCCTGATTCAGGTTCAAGTAACAGCAGCAATAATGGAAAGAAGCCTACAACAATCACTACAAAGCACAAGCATACCACAACCGCCAGTCAAAAGCCTAAGCATACTACAAGCTCAAATAAGGGCAGCAACTATTCTGTCATTCCTGGAGGAATTTCTGGCACGAACGCAGCCTCGACTCAATATTGGGACTGCTGTAAGGCTTCCTGCAGTTGGCCCGGAAGAGGCCCTGTCACTGCTCCTGTAAATTCTTGTGCCAAAAACGGCGTGACTCTTATGGGCAATAACGTTTTAAGCGCTTGTAATGGTGGTACCAGTTACATGTGTAATAACAATCAGCCTTGGGTAGTCAACGATAAGCTTGCCTATGGTTTCTCTGCAACCGTCATTCGCGGTAAAAATGAATCTGATCTATGCTGTGCCTGCTTTGAGCTTACTTTTACAAACACCCCGATTGCTGGTAAAAAGATGATTGTTCAAGTGACCAACACTGGCTCCTATCCCATGAGTGAAAGCGCTCATTTCGATTTACAGATGCCCGGTGGAGGTGTTGGCGAATTCAATGCATGTACATCTCAGTGGAATGCTCCACCTGATGGCTGGGGAAGAAGATGGGGCGGTACTACTGATGTTTCTCAGTGTTCACAATTACCTTCTGTACTTCAACCAGGTTGCAGGTTTAGATATGGTTGGTTCCAAAATGCAAACAATCCAACCTTGGCCTATAAGCAAGTCACTTGTCCTAAAGAACTTGTTGCAAGAACTGGCTGCCAAAGAAAATAGCTGAACTTTTCAAAAGCGTGTGTACAGTCTATTGTCATGAAAAGACTCATTTTATCAAATAAAAAGCCTTTATTGTTATGAATAAATGTTGCGCCATCAAGTTTATTAACGCTTTGGACTCTCGTTTACCTACCTCTTCTTTTAATGTAACTCGCCATCATCAAAATTAGGGATAGTATTACAGACTCAAGTCTAGAAAACTATCGCTTTTGTAAGGCCATTTACATGTACTTGACATAACATCCGTTAACGCATCCAAGCTATTATGTGACCAACACTTAACAATGATAGTTATTTTTTTTTCTCATATGAGGTAACTACAATACCATGTAAAAATGCTTATTAGCCGAAGACCCCTTGAGATACTGTACGTTCTCATGGTCCAACCATCACTTAGAGTTCGACAAAATATAATGCAAATGCTTCAGAAAGCATAATAAAGGCTACAAGTAATTCAAGCTAAAGATTTTACAAACAAAATAAAAGAAAAAAGACAAAAGCAGGAACTTGTGTTCATATTCCGTGTCATTGTTTCTAACCATTGAATACATTGTAAAAAGAAGGCATTTGGTGCCAACCAACAAGCAGCCTTCTGCAGCTTCAGATAAAGGACCTACTCGAGCATGGAGATGTCAGTGGAATATTCTGGGCTTATTATAGATCATCCAGCTTAGCCTAGAATGAACCACTTGACGTTCAAGGATATATCCCCTGTTGCTTCCTCTTTTGTAATCCTTGAAGATGGCACAGTTATTTACCCTGATTAACTACTCCAAGTAGTTAAGGCTGCATAATATTTATAGTCTGCCTTTCATAGAGTGGCACTGTTCTTAGCGCGCCTATTATCCTTCGTGAGCTGCTACAAATGTTTATGTTTGTTGTATACTTTGACTCTCTTTAAGGTTATCGTATCCATGTAATACATTTCCATGCGGATAAGTAATGCTATGCTTCATGATTATATGCAAGGCCAAGGTGAAAGCCCTTGATTAATCGCCCTAAGCAGGTTTCAGATAAATACGCCGGCGCTTTTTCAAGTATAAATAAGGATTACGATCTATTCTCATCAGCTTTCTTTACTCCATCATACACGAGTTGAAAAACATGAAGGTTATCTCTGCTGTTATCTTTGCTTTTGGCTCTCTTATGGTCAAATCCACTGTTGAAGGTTATCGCTTAATGGACTACTACCCATCTCGTAAATGCCACTCTGACTTAACGGCTGGTGGACCCCCAATCTGCTTGCGTATTTGCGGTCCTGAAGAAATCAAGTGTCACAAAGGCTGGGAGAAAAAACAATTTGGCCACTGCTGGACTTGTTGTTTAAAGCAAGACGACGATGACGGCGACGATGACGGCGACGATGACGACGATTATATTTTATTGAAGTGAAATGTACATATTACTCTTTTTAGCATTAAAATACAGGCCTTTCTTTCCGAAACAATGTGTGGTTGTCTTTTTGTATCTTATAATCTGGCAGTAGTAAATGCCATAAGCCAAGAAAGTGTCAAAAAGTATATACACAAGCATTTATTTGGTTTTCTTTTCTGCACTTGAAGCATATACTACAGTATGAGTTAATAGAAACTCTTCAGTTTTTGCTAATGTATAAATTGTTACATAAACTTTAATGGAAGCAAAAAAAAAGCAAATAAAAATTTGAGTTATAGATATTTATTTATCGAGCAGGGAACAATTCAGATAGATTAGCAGCCACATGCGTTTACATCAACGGTAATCTTAAAGGGACCTTGGATAGACCATCCACCGCGAGTATCTCTGTTATCACCAGCACATCTTTGAACTATTTCGTTACAGGCAAAGTTGATGTCGGTGCCATGAACGGTCTCGTATGTCCTTCCAAAATCATTTGCCACTTTGACACTGACTACAGCTCTTCTTCCACTTCCAGTGTTAAAAGGACCATAGGTTCTTTGTGCGGCGTAGCTCCTGCCGACTAACTGGTTTGATAAATCGACAGTAGCTTGACTACAGGCACTCAATACGTCACGAATATAGCCCCAGTGGCCACTGTCGAAGCAATCGTAAGGCGACCGTTTAGCTAAAGGCGCGCTACTTGTTTTTGTAGGTTGAGCTTGTACCAAAAGAGGAGCTAATACCAAAAGACTGAGGATATAATTTGCAGAGACCATTACAGATATAATATGTGATTTTCTTGAGAAATATATTTGAATTGAATATTATATGCACACATATTTATATAATTTTCTTCCTGACATGATCGCCTATCATAAGGTAAGGTATGATATGTAACGGTACACTAGATCGTACATCTTCATCTGAAATGTCACACAGGTGCAAGCCATTACTGCGCTGATGTCTGATTTAGTAAAACACATATGGCAGCTTATAGCACCAATTACTAAGTCTTATCTTTTCTTGGCTGGATTGCTTTGTTTGATAAGAGTAATGCTCCTATATCAAGCATCATTTGTTGTAAAACACGTTCTGTACACTCTGGGAGCATATGAAAGAGTGTATAATATGCAGAATCTTTTGGGTAACATGAAACTGACTGATTAACGTACTGTTGATAGAATTGAGGCAAAAGAATGCGATTACAAGATCATGAAGTCCTTTTATTTCAATATAGATATACTGTGAATAATTTAGTGTATATGGTCTAGAAACGTACTGCTATTATGTCTGTATTACGGCAGAATAGCGCCTATCTTTACCTTTTTGGGGTTGCAGAGTATAATAATCCAATGATATTAATGTGTACATCATCAATGAGATGTATTTCTGTTTATAAACTCCTGTACTTGCGCAGTTTGTTCATATTTTAACGATATAGCTCAACTGCGCTTTGTGTACATCGTTATGCTTTAAGCAGTAAAGGTCGGTTTGTACCGAAAATTATGGCCACTTGTTTTTGGTTACGAGCTTTTTATGATGCGAAGCTATTTTTCTGAGAAACATGTCTTGATTTTGTTTGCTGTCATCAATTAAATACATCTTTTGTTATGGATCTACGGTCGGGTCGAGAAAGACTGTCTAACATTGTGCAAGGTATTAAATGCGAATTACACACAAGAGAACTGACAAATGTGCCAAATAAGTATGGCCAATGTTACATGCATTAGAAACCACAGAACGACCAACTTTTCTACAAAGATGGGCAGAGTCGTCTCGCTGATAAGCATGCTCATCTTCAGCGTATGGACTATGCATTATTAGAAAACGCACAAGTTTTCAGTTTGTTGATGGTTATATTGACAATCATATGCTTTATCGAAACAGCACAGCAACAGGCTCATTGCTATACATGATGATAATCCAGAACGCTAATGGTTGTTTAATACGATCTATACCGACCAATTCAAGATTAGATTTCTCCAAATTGATATTCAAAGAAGCTCTGAATGTAGACATGAATGTTACAGTATGACAGGAATCCGATAGTGTTTTAAAAAGCATGAAAAGGGGTTATATTTCTTGTTCTCAACAAACAGCATAGGAAACTAAACTTGGGAGAGAATTCTTCAACTATTCTGGAGAGATTGATGGATAGACTACTGCATATACCTGAGGGTCTTGCTATATTTGAACGACATCTTTCTGCCTGTGAGCAGTAAATACAGTTCATCATTTTTAAAAACAAAAGACTCATTTACAAGCTATAGACACATGGGTATCAAGGCAAGGGTCCAAGAGTGCCTTGACTGGGTTCGCATATGGTGCGTTCACCTGTAAACAAGTTGTATCGTTCTAATGAATGCACCTTTCATATTAACATTATATATAACTATGACTATAGGTCGAAGAAAGAATAGTAATACTCTTTAGGATTAGCGTAAAGATATAGTAGGATGTAAAAGTACGCTGATATGTACGAACCTCAATTAACGCGTTTACTACCACAACTGCAATAAAAGCATAGTGGTAAATTTACTACTACTTCTTATTCCTTTTTGAAGTAAGAATAAATGCCATAGGGCCACCATTTACATGACTTTTCATATTAGTAAACTATGGAATAAAATGAATGTAAGGGTGCTTCCAATATATGCTACGCTCAATTACAGATACCAATCTCAGTGCAAAAGTTCAAAAGTTCGTGATATAGCAGATTTCAGTATTTTGTTGCAGTAGTGGCTCGGAACAAGCAAATTGGAGGGCTTGGTCTCTTCTGGAGTAAAGAATTACAGAAAATTGTGTTTATCATTTAAAAGGGGTTTTCCGTATTAATACGAATATACCTTAGCTGGTCAACATACAGTATAAGAATGTATTCATCAAGCTCAGCTTGCTCCTATTGTAGAATGCTCGGACAGCAACTCTCAATAGTACCAGCTATCCAAGTCTGCATTGTAGAACACTTGCTCCTCTCAATTCCAATCGCCTAATAAATATATCTTTAGTTTGTGAGTAAATTCCCTGGACGTCGCTCTGGCCTTAACTCCAAGGTTTCTTTCTTTTACTAGCTTTTGCCCTGTGTCGATATCATTCTTTTGGTTACCAATACTTCGATAAAGTAAAAATATTGCGTCGGATTGAATTTTGGATAGCTATGAAAACGTTAACTTAAACCCTTTTGTCCCTGACACTAGACCGACGTGCAAGAGTCAACGCTATTTCTTGTTTACAACTACCTTAAATGGCCGAAGGCTTTCTCATGTTTCCCATTATATCGTCTTGTCGATCACGTTTTCTTTTCTAGCATCTCAACTTGATTGGCCTACTATATGCACAGTTCTTTATGAACGAATATATAATGACATGGCTTCCCATTTGGTATCTACACTGTGGGTATCAGTTTATTAAGTGCTATTCTCCATGCACCTAAGTTAGGATTTATTTTGATTTTACCTTTAATTGTTTATTTATTACCATAACTAATTTTATTATTTTGATTGAACTGGTTGAAGAAATGCTTTTTTTAGCTATCATGCGCCTCATGTCGGTCCTTAAATTATTTTACAAATGAAGATATTTGTTTAACCCCAAAACTATCACAAAACAGTACACAAAAACCAAGAAAATAAAAGTAAACTCGGTGAAAGTAAGGTAGAACATGGATATTTTGTATCAGTAATACTAAAGAGACTTTATTCTACTACTTTTTATTATTTACAATATGAAATGGGAATGTGTATTATACAAATTATTTTGGCTGAATAGAAATGGGAGTCATGTTGGAAGGGTTGATGATGGGTATCACTCTTTTTGAGTTTTTAATGGTAGGAGAAGTGCGAGGGGATGTTCGAGGAGAAGGTGTCAGCCGCTGATAGATACGATCCCGATCATCCAAAGTAGTGTACTCGAGTATAGGACAGAATTCATCATCATCATAAAAGTTACGAGCCAGTTCATGTTGTACTTCTATTTGCCCTAGTCTCACTAAGGGAGGACACTCAGTATCATATATATATATATATACTATCTATTTCTCTTACCTGCATCATAATAATAGTTATTATTAAACGATGTATGATAAACAGGACTCATATTAAAGTGTATTAAAATGAAAAAGAAAAGAAAATAAAATAAAGAAGGATCGAGCATTTATTTATTTGTACTCAATTGAATTAAAGTTTAGTAGCATTACTTTAAATAGAATAGGATGCCACACAGACAAACACCAACCAAGTTTTAATTCATCTCTCTCCAATCATTGTTTACGTCTTATTCAGGTTCCGACGTATACCGCATTAAAGGATGTCAGTGGTCTAACCTCTCTCTCTAAAACTGCCCCTTTGGCACCGACTGCCTATTCTTTATGACGACCTAACTATTCATGACTTTCGCTCCATCAAACATGACTATTCAAAACAGCAAGATTTACGATAACGAATACATGGTTATATATCAAATTTTCTCCTCATTTTGTCGTTCCATATTTTCCATTGATCCAGTTTATGAATACCCATACCACACCAAGAACGTAGTCGCTGTATTCGTTGGCGTCTTGTCTGGCTGACCGGAGATTGGCTCGTCACATGCTATTTAATGTTCCGTAAGCATCACAGGTTGTGTCTTCTACTATCAATCTTAGAAAGAATGAGACAAATGATCGGCTAAGAGTCAGCACACCTTGCAGAAATTCGAGGATTCGTAGGGAACTTGTTTAGTAAAAACAACAAAAGATTTCTGAGTTAGCTCAGCTTGAGACACGACTGTCTTCCCTAAGGAAACCACTTCTCCTGGGTAGGCGTTTCCTTCAGTCTTCGCCAGACAAGAAGAACATAAGCACACTTTATCTCTTTCTTAAAAGATAAATTCTTATCCTACATCAAGAAACATAAAAAGATGTTTATTTCTGAACAAGCTTAACGTGATGCTACACGCTGAAAAGATTTGTTGACGACATCACAGGTAGTGTTTGTGTCATTAACCCTCTCGTGGATTTCCTCGTGCGCGTAGTGTACACCAAGGAGACACTACAAAGATGCCTTTGATGGCTTTCGGTGATGGTGTAAAGGGTAGCAGCTATGCGAAGTACAGAGGACAACATGTTTGTGTTTGACATCATTTATAAGAATTTGAAAAGAAGAGAAAATCTTGGAGAGGTATTAGATCTTTATATAAATGAATTCCGAACCTCATTCGTAAGCTACTTTAATACAAGTAAACCCTTATTAATACATCTAAATATCCCTCTGCAAAAAAGGTCTGTCCTAATTGTAAAGAAATGAAGCTCCGAAATCATAGGGCCGAGGATACATGTACTGATTTGCAACAATTGTAATATATTCTGGAATAGGAACGTCATGGCTGCCAAGAATATGCTCTACATTGCAGAGCAAATTTGGCTTAGAGAGGAGCGACCTGCCATTTCCAACGCCCTTCTCAGTAATAAAGCGCCATATTGAACGCGCTTGCTCTTCATTCCGGTGAGCGAACTTAAGGATGCTTACAGGTAAAGAACATCACTTGGTCATTTGGCATATCTGAAAGCTAATGATCTTTTGTATCTGAAAATCAATTTTGATTCATCCAAAAAAAAAAAAGCTAATATTGTCCGAATTTAAAGTGTGAAAACTGTAATAAACAGCGTATAGTCCCTTATCAAAAGATCAAACTAAATCAAAATACTAGAAAAACTGGTAAGATAAAAGACCGTGGGCAAGTTGAGATTTAAAAATATAGCCAATTGGCACCGAAAAGTGAAGTACAATCCAATGAGCAAGAAATACTCACTGGGAAGAAAGCAGTCCTGTGACAATTAAAAACATCATAAACAGTTTTCCCTTTCTCTCTCTCTTTTTTTTTTTTTTGCTATTGTTCCTTTATAGAAATCATTATAGACACACAATATTAGAGAGATGAATACACCAAGAAAGTTTCGTATTCGTTCACCTTGCTCTACTGCCAACATTGGGCCTGGGTTCGATGTCTTGGGTATCTCTCTTTCCCTTTATTTGACCATGGATGTTGAGATATTGAAGGAAGCTGACAAAGATTTTGAAATGACCTATAGTGGAGAAGGATCTAAGGATGTTCCACTTACTCCAGAGCAAAACTTGATCACCAAAACCGCTCTCTACGTCCTCTCTGCAAATGGCATTTCTCAGTTACCTAAACCTCTCAAGATCCATGTCGACAATCCTATTCCTCTTGGTCGTGGATTAGGTTCATCCGGTGCAGCTGTTGTCGGTGGAGTCTTGCTTGGTAATGCCTTGGGTCAATTGGGATTATCAAGAGATCGATTACTGGATTACTGTTTGATGATCGAACGTCATCCAGATAATGTGGCTGCTGCCTTGATGGGCGGATTTGTTGCTTCTTATCTGAGAGAGCTGGATCCTAGCGCTATGCAAGGTGTACCTGCCTCCGAGTCACTACTCAACATTGCCCTTTCACAACAGGTACCTCAGCCTCCTGTAGGTATCGGACATTATGTCAGACTGAACTGGGCCAAGGAAATCAAGTGTATTGCTATTGTACCTCAGTTTGAGGTAGCTACAGCTAAAGCAAGAGCCGTGCTCCCTTCACACTATGAGAGAAAAGATGTGGTAAAGTCAGAGAATGTTGCATGAGCTGAAGAGAAATTAAATGAAAGTATATAGGTTTTCAATTTCCAGCGGTTGGCTGTGTTGACTACTGCTTTGGGACAATCGCCACCCGATGCTGATTTGATTTATAATGCAATGCAAGATAAAATTCATCAACCCTACCGAAAGACTCTTGTAAGTTAAAAAAAAGAAAAAGAAGAAGAAAGAGATTGATCTGTTATAGATTCCCGGACTTCCTGAAGTTTTGTCTTGTATCACACCAGAAAAGCACGATGGCCTATTGGGTATTTGTCTTTCCGGAGCTGGGCCCACCATTCTTGCCTTAGCCACCAAAAACTTTGATGATATTGCAAAGGCAGCGATTGATGTATTCAAAAAGCATGGAGATTTTGAATGTATTTATAAAGTTTTAGATGTTGTTACTGATGGTTCTACATGTTCAGATATTGAATCATAAAAGAGATAAAAATACGAAAAATAAACTTGCCCTGGTAGAAGATCAATTCACCTGAAGGCACAACAAATGCTCGTTTTTGTTTTATTTCTTCTTCACAACTACATCAGAAATTATATGTTATGAACATACAATTCTTGTTTGAAAACGGAAAAAGGTTCTATCGTCGACAAGTATGACCGACCTGAACCAATGTACTGTATTGTTGATGAGGAGCAGTTCCGTCTTGAAATATTGGGCTCTGACGTGTTTAATATAAATCATCATAATGCTTTATAGTCTTACAGTATACATCCCGCGTCTTTCAATCAACAAGACATTACCACCATTTTTTATTGAAGTGCAGCGAATAGTGAGGGAATCATTCATGCAATGAGTTATCCACTACTGCATCCATATTAACGGCGCATTCGGCCGTAAACCAATTGCTCTTATATTCGCTACCGACAATATTTGCCCCAGCAGCCTACTGGAATAATTCAAACCATCATCAGACAAACCATGGTTAAATGCGTGTAGCGCTCATTATTTTTGGACCAAGTGTCGTGTTTTTACGTATATATCGAAGAACATTACATCCTCTGTCGTCAAATGTATTTCGTACACAAGCCAAATTCATCTTTTTTACTTGGTATTAGCATAATACCTCGTATTAAGCCCACAACAACAGCCATATTAATATAATTCACTGGATGTAGTTAGTTGGCAACATTTATTCTTGCATATAAAGATCAATTTCTTTTTTGCCATGAATCTCTTTCTTTTCTCTTTTCATAAAAGGCTTATTCCATCTTGTCATATTCTTATGTTTCTGACGGTATCACACCAAGGATTGTTTTGTGATCGCAAAACACACGTTGGACTCCTCTGATGAAACCTCCATGGAACACCTACTCGTGCTGGCGCAGTTCTTTATTAAGCGACAATCCATCCTGCTTGAACATACTTGTGCTGTGAACGCAGGTACTAAAATGCTATACGGGTTAGCCAAAGATCATGTTCTCCAAGGCAAGAAACATCAGCATAGCTTTGCCGATACCATGGTAGTGATTTACGTCATACATATCAAGCAGTTGGAACAAGCCTGCGCCTTAGTCATAAAGTTGTAAAGGTAAACATAGGAAATGAAAAGTTAAGAAGCGTCATTCAAATATTTTGGATAGAAGATGAAAAAAAAAAAAAAAAAAAAAAAAAAAAAAAACTGAGTCCAGTTTTGTAGTTGATCTTGTAAAAATAATACCAAGATGCCATGCCTACGTAAACCAATTGAAAAATGGTGAATACCATATTATTGGATATTGTAGAAAATTAAAGCCACCAAGTAACAATCGAGCAGCTTTATTACAAAGAATAGTCAATATTTTACTTCAAAAGTCGCTTGTAGAAAAAGCTTTCGTTTGATCTTGTAGCAGCGTAAAACAAGCTTCTTATAGACGAGATTCAAATAATCAAGATACTTTATCAAGTTAATGGAAATATTCAAGGTAAAAAACTAAATAATTACATGATTAATCCAATTTTGAAAAAGCAATGATTCTTTTAATAGACTTTTTAACTTTTATTGAGGGCAGTGATAAAGTTTATGTGGTGACGATAGATTACGTGGGATTCATAACCAACATGTTGGACTTGAAAAAACTTTTAAGGCAAGTAGGTAAACAATACGAATTCTGAAATAAAAATTGACAAATAATTTTGTAGAGACTATCCCAGCATGCAAGAGATTATAATAAACTTGTCTTTCTATGAAAATCAGTTCAAAGCCTTTAACAGAGACCAATTTGCATTGCATGAATTGTATTCTTGCCTTCAGGTGAATTGATATTCCACCAGGGCGAAGTTATTTTTTGTACAACATGAATTTTGCTCTCGCCATTGGATGAATTTACTTTTCGGAAAGAGTGTATTTTTATCTCAAAAGTACACGCCAACTGGCGGTACTTGAATATACCATTTTACAAAAATAAAAATAAACTGTTTAAAAATAATTTATTCACTCTTTTTTCTATCATAAATAATGAAAATCCTTCATCTGTCACTGTTGACCCTGTCTCTGTCAGCAGTCAATGCGCTTCAACTAGGCCAAAAATGCGATCCTCATCCTCTTTACAAGTAAAAATATATTATCATGAAAAGGTACATCATGTATTCACCTTGATGTAGACCAGGAACATTTGAATATAATGATTCCTGTGGTAGTGTTTATTTATTCTGTGATCCATCTACCAACACATGCAACTATAAAGGATGCAGTAACTCAGATTATATCAAAGAGTAAGAACTTTAGAAGGGGACATCAGTCGCTTACCCATTATTGTTTTAGTTGGGATACAAAATTTAGATCTATTCCAGTGAGATGCAACAATACAAGTTACTGTCCAGACAACAACTCAAAATGTCTTCCTCTTCTTCCAGTTGGGGCTCAATGTGATTTAGTAAATACCAAATCATCAATAGCTGTCTTGTAACTAACAAATGCTCAAACATAGCAAAGAGATGATGAATGTTCAGGATCAAATGCTATTTGTCTTAATTCAACATGTTTCATCAAGGGAGCGCCCTTAGGTGGCAATTGTGGTGCAGATACGTATGTTCATCTAATACTCCTCTTCATCCTCCTTATACTTATCTAACACTGTTTTCATTTCTATATTTAGTACAGTCTACTACTCACAAGATGCAGATGAAAACCTCATTCAACAGACGATTATCCGAGATAACTGTACAGATGGTACTTACTGCCTGAATTCTGTCTGTGTCATGTCTAAACCACTCAGCTCGCCTTGCGATCAAGACCGTGAGTGTCTGTCTGGTTCATGTTCAAATAACGGTGTCTGTATCCAGGGGCCAGACGTATTCCATGTCATCAAACCTTGGCTCTGGGGTGTCCTTGGTACGTCCGTATTCGTATTTGTCATCCTTGTTCTTGGTTTACTTTGGATCTTGCATCGCTATCAGTCCAAGAAAGAACATGCAAAGATTGCTAAATTCTTTGAAGATAACGAAGAGTTTGCCAAATATGCAATGTTGGATGATGACAACGACTCATATCAAGATGATGATTCAAGGGCCAACATGAATGACAGTCGAGCCAGTGTCCTGTTCTTGACTACGCCCGACTATCTAAAGTCTCAAGCATTATCTACAAGTCATAAAAACCCTTCTTCTCTTAGTCTACATCATCCCAATACAAGCACAAATAGATTCTGAGCTCCCCAGTCAATGCGTCTGATGAACTCTTGTAACACGCATGCTCCAAATGATTGGATATCATTGAATTATATCAACATTAATAAAAAAGACCGCACGTTTATTTTATTTTTTTCTTTTCTTAGGCTTTAAATAGACCTTGTCTATCTGCAACATCAAATCGTATTTGTACGACATCTTCGTTTGCTGTGCCTGCTTTCATACCAGCCGTTACTAAATCACCAGATTGGATAGGACCTACGCCTGATGGTGTTCCTGTTAAGATGACATCTCCAACTTCGAGCTTCATGATGGATGATACATATTCAATCAGTTTGGGAACACTGAATAGAATTTATGTGAGCCCTATGGTACTAGTATGATTTCACTAGTCATTTACCTAAATATCATATCCTTTGTATTTCCTTGTTGACGGAACTTGTCATTAACCTTGAGCCAAAGATCGACATTATGTGCATCAGGAATTTGCTCTTTAGAAACAAATTCACTGATGGGTGAAAAAGTATCGAACCCTTTTGCTGTGCTCCAAGGTAATCCTTTCTTCTTGGCCTCATTTTGAAGATTTCTAGCTGTACAATCGATAGCTAATGCATATCCTGCAACATGTTCCATAGCTTGAGATGCAGGGCAGTCGCGTGCTTCCTTACCAATAACCACGGCCAGTTCAACTTTGAAAAGGAGGTTATGATCTTTTTCTTTTTTTTTCTTCTCCTGTTATTACCTTCATGATGTACTTCACAGCCTTTGGGGATCTCAATAGTACCTCCATTAGCCAAATAGGAAGATGTAGGCTTCAAAAAGAAGAATGGTGATGTAGGAACAGCATTACCCAATTCTTTTGCATGTTCACTTGAGCATGATTCAATACACGAGAAACAGACAAGGCACTACAACTTACCTAAAGTTCCTTCCAATAGCAACGATTTTTTTACCAGTGGTCAAGAATGTACGTGCACTAGACATTTTGAATGCAGTAAAGATAAATTTCACACAAAGGCATTTTTAATAAGGGTAATTTCGTGTGTCACATTCTGCTCTTTAAAACAATGCAAGGCATGACAAAGGCAGAGGAAAAGAGCATCTATTTAAAGGTTGCTTTCAACTGGATATCAACTTGTGAACAGCATATATACAATAACAATATAAGCATAAATAATATGAATGACGACATAAGCAATAATCCTTATACTTGCCTTCTCTTTTTATTTAATGAGTGGTAAGAGCATACTATCTTTATCAATTAGAGTGTAATGGGGCAAAGTAAACTTACCATCATGAAAGTATTATATATATATATATATATATCAATATTGCTTGAAAATCACCAATGATTAGTAGCAGCAGTGCACAGACATAGTACTAGTAGATTCAGCCGTTTTGAAATGTTCAACATTTAAGTCCTCTGTTTTTTGTTACAGCCAAGAGTACATTCTATGGAGCATCAGAACAAGCCTTGAGCGTCTCTTGGTGTTTTATCATAAGCAAAATATGGGATACTTAGTCCTGAATAGATTTTAACAGTCTAAACATACAGGATTTTTTGTTCTCTTCCTTTTAATAAGACAATTTATGCTCCTACCTTTTTTTTGCGGTATTCAAAGTGTGCAATTTTTTATCAAACAATTTCTGAAAATATTGTACTAATAAAGGAGCTGATTTTATGTAAAGCAGACTTTTAAAGATCAATTGATAATGGTATGATTGTTATAAAAATTGATTATGTAATCAAATTGATCCTTTTTGGTGTCTCAATGCATTGTGCAATCACCATGGAAACAGAGCAGAATTAAACCACCGACGTCACGTTCAGAAATTACCCTTATAATTCTAACCCTCTCCCTTCTTTTTTTTTTTTTTTTTTTTCTTATACTAAAATGTCTGATATCTTTAGTTTAAAGAAGCAACTCATAGTGTATGGAGCACATCATAATAACAAGGTAAATGTGGCCATACATATGGTCTTTGTGCCCACTATTCTCTGGAGTGGTATGAACTATTGATGTACACACACACGCGATTTAACAACCCCTCCTCTAGCGCTCGTCATTTTCTCAAATACAGGACCACTCATAAAGACAAACCCTATTTTTAATGTATTTGAACCCAATTTCGCATTCTTTTTCATTGCATCCTATATAGTGTACTATGTAATTCTGGATCCTATTGCAGCAGTAAGTTAATCTTATATGCATTAAATATATGTTATTTATCATGATAGACTCTTTATACTCCTATTCTTTTATATATGTGCCATTCGGCTATAAATTACTACAAGGCCAATCCAAATGCAAACAAGGTAGCCATTGTTATTCACGTAATCTCATGGATATTTCAATTACTTGGTCATGGACTCGCTGAGAAAAGAAGTCCAAAATTCTTGGATAATGTTGTGCAAGGTAAACTAGACATCACGTTTTTTTTTGTTTCTGTCATGCAAACTTTTTTTTTTTTTGGTCATAGCTTTTGTGTCTGCACCTTATTTTGTATTCTTTGAAATACTTTTCATGTTGGGATATCGACCCAAGTTATATAAAGAGGTGATGTATGAAGTCAATAAGGATATTGCCACATTCCGTGCTCGCCAAAAGCGTCGTGATATTCCCAGCAGAAAATGATTGTGTATTTTATCATGAGCCATTTATCGTTATTTTTTAATAAAGCGCATAATTTATCATTATTATTATTAAGCATTATTAGCAGTTACGATTGTATAAATGATATTATCGCTTTGAATCATGCTATATGTTTGTACCTGAACACATGGCTTGCATTATTTTGGAAAGTTAGCATATAGATCTTTTGCTTTAATTAAAAGTTATAGACAATAATAAAAATATATCTAGTGAAGGTTATGCTCAAAGAGGAAGAAAAAAACAAAGCATTTCAGTAGCTTTTTTATTATTCCCTGCACTTAGACATTCTTCAATCTATTGTCATTTTGATATTCAGTTATACTAGGTGTATTTATTTTACTACTAGGATCAATTCATATACCCTCTTTGAAAAAGAATGAATAAATAGATTAGGAAGGCAAGACTCAAAATATGCCCTTTGTAAAATAATCATATCTGTCACACGCTTTGTCGATGCTTTATGCAGGCTTAAAAGTACTATCTATCGATTTTCTTTTATATATAAAATATACACACAATTGAAGTAAATATCATAATTAAATATATATACCACTTCTTCCAATGAAAATATACAGCTTATGAACATTTAGGAAAATAGTGAGCAAATATCTTTCGAACCTGATCCGTGACACCAGCTTCGGAAAGCCAAATCAAGTTTTGTTCCATACTAACGGGGTATCCACAAGACTGAATAGTTGCAATAGGATCATGATACTGAGTTGTTATACGCATGGCTCTGATTGTATAATCCTTAATCAACATTCCTTGCATATCCAAATTTTGACATTGATATGCGACGACATGAAGATCTGACCCAGAGAGTCGAAGGCGATGACCTATACAGGAAAGAACTGATTTAAAGTACTGGGGCTGATGATATTCACTCTTCATACAGTATTTTATAAAACTAGCCAGGTGATGCCAGAATTGTGTTTCGCATGTAGAGGATAAAAGCTGATTCCAATAAAAGTGGTCATTATGCACTTCGTTGTTATTGTTGTTGCTGTTGTTATAAGCGTGGTATTGATCATCACAAGCTACTGTTGCATGTCTTTTTCTGATATTCAAAATAGAGCGTCCAAATGGATCGTCAAGAGAAGATTGTCTTGAATGGTTCAACTCTTGTAGAGACCGTTTGTTCAAGGCACCCCATATTTCATGATCTTGAAGTTCTGTAAGTTTTGAATTCTTAAAGAACCAATGAGCTGAATATAGATGTGTATCATCTGTTGACAATGTAAGCTTACTCCATTCTCTATAAACAATAAGCTTACCTTGCTGATCAAACATATCCACGCGTCTGTTTATTAAAGCATTGTTTGACGTATATATTCTAATTGATGAAGAAATTTCACTCATGATGAAAAAATATGTAAAAAGAAAAAAGAAAAGAATGGTGAATTAGATATGCTTAAAAATAAGGAGTGTTTTTATTAAAGCATGAACACGGAGCAACTTTAAATCACCACAAAAATGAGGCAGTCACTGAATAAAAAGGTTCATGCTGAGGTGTCAGCTTTCATATTTACAACGTGTCGTAAGCAATGGTGAGCTTCATTTATATTAGTAAATGATCATGGTTCATTATTCCAGGAACTCATAAAATTATTATTGTTCTTAAATCAAATTGTCTTTTGTATTAGCGAAGGATAATAATCTGGAAGGCATATGCATACTAATAGGTTAAGCAAAAGAAAAGTGCAAATTTAGAGTGCTCGAAACTTACTCTAACGTCAAGCTCGCTGTGAATGCGCCAGGCGATAATAAACAACCGGTTTATTGATAATAAGAGATACTACTCAACAGTCTTAGGCAGGAAAGGTTTATATATAATTCAAGGTTGAAGTTATCCAAGCTACCAATGGACACTTTTAAATGCATAAAATAGAAATCAAGTTTTGCGACTTTGGTTTTGGTATATATCATATCCTTTACTTTTACAACACTGCTACATTATTCGATGCGGGTATAGTATATCATATCTTATGCACTACATTACTTCTTGTATATGAAAGCGCAGGGTATGAATCTTGCGGTAAGAGCAATTTTTTTCAGGTCTCTTATGCGACACCACACCCGAGAGTAACGATGAACACTACAAGCTGAGTTTAAATTATATCAATGCCCACTGCTGGGTCATCTGAACAGCTTTTTTTGTTTTGTTTCTTTCTCTTTTTTTTTTTTTTTTTACTTATCATGTATAATAATCACACCAGTGTAGGTGAACCTTCTTCATCTAAATATGTACCAACGGAAGATACATCTTTAATAAGAAAAGACAGAGCGTCATCTTATGATCATGAACAACCAGAAGAGCAGGAGACATACGGCACAATAGAAGAATCCACTGTTTTTGACGAAGATACCTCCCAGAATAAAGAGCTGTGTACATATATCATCATATTTATCACCACCTTAATAACTATCCTCATCTTCTTTATACTATGGTTCATTCCTTCATTTGCTGAGCGAACTGTGAAAGAGAGCGTCCAATTCAAGTTTCAGACCGCTTCGATCATCAATGTAACTCAAGAAAACACCATGTCGATGCATGTATCAGGTCAAATACAGCTAGATCCATCACTTTATGCATGGTCAAAAAGGTTCACCACATTGCTTGGTACAGTGGATATCAGTCCCAGTCAACTGGAGGTGATACATTCAGATCAAACGATGGGCATGATCGATTTACCAGCCTTGTCACTCAATGCGACGTCGGCTGTAACGGAATTTGATTTTATTACTCGATTTATAATTCAAGATAATCATGCCTTCATGACGTTCTGTAAGCAGGCCGTGCAGGCTAGAATCGTCACCTGGCATATACAAGGTCCTTTATCCGTAAGTATCGGCTGGGTGCCTTGGCATTCGAGTGTAGATCTCAATAAGGATATCGACTTGGAAGGTATGGGTTGATACAAATATATATATATATATATAAACCACTTAGCAACTAATAACAATAATAATAATAGGCATGGATGGATTAACAAAGACAGAGATGCAGTCCCTATCATTTCCCAGCGCTCATCCTTTAGGAGGTGTGGCTATTTCAGGCACAGTAGGTTTGTACAACCCTTCAAATGTCCTTAGCCTTCGCTTGGGAGACATTGATTTTGGCATCTACCTTCCTGGTCCAGAAAAAGATACTCAAATTGCCATTGTGCGGGCTGTCAATGCAAACTTGATAGGCAATCAAATGAACTACTTTAATGTCACTGGCCGTACACTTCCTATCACCTCTGATGCCGAAAGTATCATGTCCTCTTTCCTCACCCAATACCTACACGGTGAAAGCAGCCTGGTTCATGTCCGCGGCAGTTCCTTTGGACCTGATCCAAACCGACCCACCCACACTCCCGGTTGGCTTCGTGAGGCTCTTGAAGCGATTACTATTCAAGTACCGTTTCCAGGGGCAAGCGAGACAGACTTGATTCAAAAATTGGAGCTATCTAATATCAAGATTGACTTTTCTTCTCTGGGAGATCCTCTCATTTCAGCAGATGCTGTTGCGTACCTGAAACAGCCCAAGGAAATCGAATTTGATCTTGATGTACAAAAGATTCTTCCAACCGTCTATCTCTACCTCAATCAGGAATCACTTCATCCCTTTGCCGTCGTCAAACCAAATGAGCCATGCCCGGCTCAGACACAAAGGATAAACGATCATAAGCTCATGGTGACCTCGAAAATGGAAAAGGCGCCTTTCAAGGTCTTGCCAGGCGGGCAAAAAGACTTTGAAGAGTTTTTGAATCGCGTGTTTCATGAAAAGAACGGAAGGGTGTACATGCAAGGTAGTTCTGATGCACAAGTGGAGAGTGCCTTTGGTCATCTTACTGTTCAAAACCTTCAGTTTCAGGGAAGCCTTGATATTCAAGGCATGCAAGGATTGAAGAATCCAGAGGTGACGTCTGTCTCTCTTGTCCGTGGATATCAGGATGCACTTGAAATCAGTACAACGCTCAAGATCCATAACCCTTCTAATGCAGCTGTTAACTTGGGTGATATCAACATGATTTTGCTCTTTGAAGGTCACCCCGTGGGTAATGCAACTGTACGTTTATTAAACTTGAAGGCTGGAGAAGCAAGTGATCTGAAAGTCTCGGCATGGTTAGAAGCAAACAACACCTATGCTAATGACTTTATCGGTCGTTATATTTCGACAGGTAAGGAAAAAATATAAAATCTAGATAGGAAGCTCATATGTTGGCTGTTTTGTGTAGGTATTGGTAAACAGTCGAATGTAAATCTCACTATTTCTGGAGATCATCCAAACGCGACTCGTTCCAAGTTTATCAGATCGCTGATCCGTAGTCTAGTATTTCATATACCTGTTCCACCCTTTGATAAGGATCCACTGTTGATCGATTGTCAGATGAACATACTTTCATCCACTATTGTAATGAGCCTAAGTAATCCATTTCCAGGCATAACCATGACGATCAACAACATACATGCCCTTGCATCCTATGAGATCTATGATATCGGAAGTGTAGCAGCTGATTTTGAAGACAAGAGCCAAGGTTGGAAGGAAGGGCCGATGGTACTACCTGGCCCTCTGTGTCATCCAGCCTGTCAAGGCGTCGTAGTTGAATCAGAAAAGATACCTGTCATGACAAAGAAATTGGGATTTGAAGCAATCAAGAAGGCTTTAGGTGGATCCATTGTCGTCTCTGTTGAAAGTCGTGTTGGTGTCATGTTGGATGACTATAGACTGGATGATCTCATGTACAGACAAAATAATATTACTACCAAGGTTAGAAAAGGATTCTGATAAATAAATAATAATAAAAAGAAACACGCGCGGTATTGGAAAAAGAGAGAAAATTTTCTTTTTCTTTCCAGAAACATTTTTTTTAAATGAAGTTGACAATCAAGGCCATTTCAGAGATCTATCCAGATCGTTCACTTGGAGAACTAAAGGAACTTAATGCATCGAAAAAGGAAATTGATACTGTTGAAGATCTATCATCTTGCAAGCAACTTCGAAAAGTTAATCTATCTAATAACCAATTGACCGATGAGCGATCTTTGACTGGTTTAAGGAATCTAGAAGAGTTGACACTGTTAAACCTTTCATATAATCAATTTAAAGATTTTACAGGCTTTCAGCACTTTAAAAGATTGAATGGTAAGAAAGACATATAATTACTTATTCCATATGACTCATTAAATATCCAGTGTTGAACTTGAGCCATAATGAACTTGTTCATATGAGCCCTCACTTGAGAAAATTAAAACAGCTAAAGGCGTTGATTCTGAATGATAATCAACTATTGGAAATTGAAAACATTGAACCACTATTAGATCTTAATACACTTGGTAAGTTTGATCTTTTTTATAATTGAAAGATAGACTAATATCACACAAGTTATTTCTCATAATCAATTGGATACAATTCCCAAATTATCCAGTCTTTTAAAGCTAACCAAACTATCTGCTGCACATAACAAGTTGAGCGACGTACCCGACCTATCTTCCAATACCGCCTTGAAAGAACTTCGACTGAATGACAATCATATCTCGCATATACCCGAAACATTAAGAAACTGTACTTCACTAGAAATCCTTGATTTTGGTAATAATCAAATCGCAGAATGGACAGCCATTGCTGCTTTAGGTTCACTTACAAAGCTACACAATCTCAATTTGAAGGGAAACCCAATTGCTAACAAGAAGGATTACTTTGAAAAGGTAAAACAAGATAATGGCCTCTTTCAATCATTTTCTCATACCCAATTAGGTCCTTGATCTTGTTCCTTCCTTACGTATTCTCGATGGTGAACGATTTGATCCCAAGTATTTAGAACGAAAGAAGAAACAAATGGAAAATAAAAATTTGGTTGAAAAGAAGCAAAGACTGAAAAGAATAAAAGCACAAAAGGAAAAGAAGGAAAAGAAAGTACGAGGCGAAGACATAGAAAAGATCAAGAAGGTAGCTAAGAGATCTAAGCCAATGAATGAAGAAGAAGCGTTGCCTGCAGCCAAGAAGAAGAAGACGACAGAAGATCCATTCTTTATGGAGACAGATGTACCACCTAAAGATGAAAAGAAGATAAAGAAGAAACAAGAGACGGCTAAGACTGTACAAAAGGTAAAAGAAACGAGTAAAGAAAAGACAAGAGAGGAAGACAAGAAGAAAGACGAAAAGAAGAAGGATGAAGCCAAGGTTGAAGAAAAGATGCCAGTTGTAGAGACTCCAATAAGCAAGGTACAAACGGGTGTAGTGGGTATTGTTGACAAGACAAAGAAGAAGAAGAAGGAGAATAAAGATATCGTTGCTGCACTGGAGACAGAAGAGAAGAGTAGTACTGCAGAACAAAGTTCGGGCACCGGTTTAGATGTTGGTGGTTGGGATTAAATATCTGTAACAATAAAAAGCTGTATGTATGTGTGTGTAGCAAAGTTTTTGCCTTGAATAAATCCACGGCCCCCTATCCTATTCTTGTAGCAAAATACATGGTTTTATTGCTTTGTTATTTATATATCTTGAAGCAATCAGTATATTTGGTATTATTGCATTTTTACAAAAAAGAGGCAGAAAAGAAAGAAAGAAAAAGTGAAGAGAAAGCTATGAGACTGCAAGTCGCTGCACAGGTGTATCTTCATCATCTACAATAATGATTTCTTCATCTTCATCGTCTTCTTCTTCCTGAACTACTTTAACAATGTCTTCTTCTTCTTCTTCCTCTAGAGCTAAAGCAAGTGCTAGGTCATCCCAGTCTAGCTCGTCACCACAGCGCTCGAGCAAATCATCAAACCAGGATTCTAAGCATCGGTCGCTTTCGTACTTTACCAATCTTGCTTCTTGATTGCTTTCATCAGCTGATAATTGTTCAATCTCTAATAAGAGGATCTTGAATGTCTCCATCAATTCAGCAGAGATTTCACCCGAAGATGGTGTTGAATTAATTTGATTTAAGACGTGGGTTAATTCAGTTAATAAGTTATTTTGATCTGTACAAGGACGCTTTTCACTACTATCAGCAATAATAGAAGGCGACCGACTGCGTTTGTTGGACATTATATGATTTAACAATAAAGAAAGAAAGAAAAAAAAAAAGAGGAAGGGAAAGAAGGCAAGTCAGATGAAAAAAATAAGCCTAAAAAAATATAAAGTCTTATTGGATATCCCCATTTGTACTTTTTTTTATCATCTCAAATCAAGCAAAGCATAAATAAACTACTGCATTTCTTTCCTCTTTTCTTTTCTTTTCTTTTTTTTTTTACAAGCATTAATAAATGGTATGAAATCATACAAGAAGCTTTTGGTTTATTTAAAAAGATGTCATATTTTACAATAAGTATGTCGTATCATATTAGCCCTCTTTTATTTTTAAAAGCCAACCCTTGTAAACATTACTTCCTTCCACGACCGCCACATAACACTGTGATCACACTCTAGGGAATAAAAGAAAAACTAATGAAAAAAAAGCCTAATGTCAAGGACAAAGCCATCCATCAAAAAAAGAATGATCCAAGCTTTTTAAAAGTCCATTCTATCGGCGCATCGTTACCCCCTCTTTTTGTTGCAGCAAAGATCTTTATTTATTAAGAAGGAGGCGGTCCAGCCTTGCTGATCTTTTTACTTCGCATGGCCTTTCTATTGTGATTACCAAATCGTGCCTTATTCTTTTCCCTATATGCACGATCTTTGCTTTCATTTTTCTGAGGTGCCTTTTGAGCTGACTGTCCTGTAGGCTCTTTTGAATGTGATTGCTTTGAGGACTCTTGTTTGACAGGCGTCTGATCATTTTTGTTTTCAAACAACATGTATTTATCCAATATACGCTGCTTCCTAGGCTATATTACACAAGAATTAATTGACTGCATTTGATAGATGTATTTAAAACTTACATTTCTATTAAACATAATTGCCCAACCTTCCAGTTGCTCATCTGTCATACCAGTTTGCTTTCGAAGTTCCGCCCGCTTGGGTGATTTTCTGGCTGTGCCATTACGCTTTAACACATCAGGATTATCCATATAAACATGCACTAACAACTGTTCATGCTCGGCTCCTGGGTCTTGAACGACTACCTTTCGCTTCACGACATCTTGTGCTTCTTCCTGTCCCATAGTTACAACTCCAGCAGCGTCATTAATATCATCATAGGTATCATCATACTCATCCTCGTACATGTCTATCACACGCTGCATGATACTAGTCTTATCGATCACCGACTTATCTTCCAATAAAGCATCTGCATTACCCTTGTCTTTTTTGCCCAAATACATTTTGGATGTGTCAACTGTTTTGTTTGCAAAGACGTCAAACTCATCATTGTCATATATATTTTTACGACTGGAGAGCACAGAAGGCGCTTCTTTTTCATTGAGCAAGTGCATAATGACAGCCTCTGCATCTCCATGATTTGATTCCAAATAATGCTCAATCACATCATCTGATAAATCACTAAACACTTCACGTATTTGCAATACTTTTTGCTCCCTATCATCTACATCAGGCTGCCAACTATGTGTCTCGTTCATTGTATCTCGCACTTGTTCCATCTGTAACTGTAAAATCTCGAGCATATCATCGTTACCACTGAAAAGATCCTTGTTGATCTGCCTTATCTTATCACTAATCTTATAAGCTGATTCCCAGTCCATGATTAACGGAGCATCAACAAAAGGTGATGAAGGTCTAATTTCGTTCTGTTCAATCCACCTAGACATCCAGTTCACAGCTTCGTCTCTATTGGTCGGTTCGCTGATCTTTACTAATTCATGTGCATCGTTCAGCATATATCCAAAAGGGCGAAAGAAACGCAATTCGGCTGAGACTGCAAATGCAGAGACGAGGGAGGCTTTGATCATATATGCATAAGGTGCTAGATGGCTATCTTGATCTACTGCCTTTTTCAGACAAGGAACAAGTGATCGATACCATTCTGTGACTAAGACATCAACTGCAATAAATCCTGGTACCAGCGTTGACACAAGTGCATCAAAGGTACGTGCTACAATATGCGCTCTTTTCAAAACCTCCAAGTTAATTGACATATGAGCCAGAGGTTCGATAGACTCGATCAGTGTATGAACTATAGGTGCTAGTTGCTCTTCAAATGGTTGCATAATCTCTCGCAGCTGCGGCGTGTTTGTACCACTGTAGACAACAGCAAGCTTGATGAGCAGATCTGTTTCGAACAGGCGGTGATTCCTCGTGTCTGAAGACTGAGACAAACGTACATAGATCAGGAACACGTACTTTAGCAATTGGCTGTCAACAGACTCTCCTTCAATATGAGTGTCCCAGAGGCGATGTATAAAAGTGGTAAGGGAAGGGCTTGCTCGAGTCGTGGATATAAAGTTACTGTCGTCCATATTAAGTAAACTGATCAAATTAAACTGCCAGGACTTGAAAGCAGTTTGCCATATATCTTGAATAGTGTCAGCATACGGGACAAAAGGAAGGAATTCCATAGTCAAAAAAAGTATGGTACTGCGGTTACAATAGAAAGAAAGAGAGAAACAGAAGAGTGAAAGAGAGAGAGAAATGACGTAGCACGGAGTTTAAATTAATAAAGGGCGATAGAAAGAGAGAGTGAGAGAGCGCGGGAGAGAGTTACTTTTATATAATATAAACAGCTTAATTATGCCTGTAATGCTCCTAATGAATTCCTTCAAGCATCATATATTTAACGTCATCTTCTTCTTTTTTTTATAGGCATACCACTCACATTTTAACGATGGAGACTATCAGTCTATTGGTAATATGTTTTTATTACCTATAAAGACCAAGTTTAGAGGAAACGCACCTTATGGTAATTAACAGATAAAAAACAAAACAGACTCATCATGAAACTTATCTACTACTACTATAGCGGGCGACATGGGAGAAGATATTATTGATGAGGCACTTGACTTATTCCGTGCCAACTGTCTCTTCCGTAACTTTGAAATCAAGGGCAACGCGGATCGAGTACTTATTTATCTTACCTTGTTCATCTCACAATGTCTCGGCGCACTTAATAAGAATATGCCACAAGCTGAAGCTTACAAAACATTGAATACCTTGGCATTATCCAACTTTTCGATTCCTGGTGATCCTTCATTTCCTTTGAATGCAATGTATCAAGCACCCAGTGATAAGTTCCAAGCAGGTAAATGATAATAAAAAGTATATATTAATGTATACTTAAAGGGGGAATATCATAGATCAAATGAAGCAGTATATTCAGCAAATTCGTCAGGAACTTGCACTTAGACTTGTTGAAAGGATTTATGAGGACGGACAATTAAGCAAATGGTGGATGTGTTTTTCAAAGAGAAAGTTTATGAACCTTACACTTTAACTTGATTTATGAAGTTGATGGCTCATATCTATACCTCGTTTAGCCCAAAAGGACTTGCCGTAGGTTACAAGCTAAAGTTTATCAATAAAAGCAAGCAATGTAGTATACTATAGCTTACCAGTTCGTCTCCCTTTTTAATCTTTCGATTTCCATTAACAAAGATCCCCACTTTGATATGCTTTGTATTCTCATCCATATAATTCATAAAACATACATTTGGCTCTGGTCCACAGCCTCGGAAATCATTACAGAATCTGGCTTCATTGCCACATCGTCCTGCATCGATAGACAGATCAACACCATATTTAAGTACATAATCAGATGTAGCTTCGTATCCGTCTTGGTATTCAACAACACCAAGGTAATCGATGATCAGCTGCTTTGGCTGCAGAGTTTGAGCAGCAAATAAACCATATGCACCACAACAGGGATGCTTTGGATCTGTTATCTTTTTGATCTTGACATTCTTGCGTTGTTCTTTGGTGCTTGGAAATGTACCTGTCAGGTGAACGTTTTGATTTATAAACTGGACATCACGATCTATAGGCTTTGAAGGCTGAAATAATTCTTTGAGATCAGAAGGCACTTGAGGTGACCAAAACAGTTTATCAATATACTTTATTTCTGGAGTCCATCCAGAAGGAGGAGACACACTAGCAGAAGGCACATTGCGCAAATAGGCCATTTGAATTGTATAAAAAAAAAAAAAAAAAAATTGACACTTGCATTTTTTTGCTTTCCTTTTTTACACTTTTTTTTTTTCTTAATGTCAAAAACTGTTGACAATGACAATTTACTAATGTCTTCCATGACTAATTTAGAAACAAACAAAAAGAAAAAGAGTAAAAAGAAGAAGAGCAAAAAGTATAGAGTAGAATGTCACCGTTGTCATGGTAAGTTTGTCTTGGTCCCCATGGTAACAAATCACTAACTATTATTGATTGGGTACGATCAAGATTCTTTCGAAACGACTGAAAAAGTAGTCGATCGATATACCTGTCAAAAGTGTCAATCTAAACCAGCCTTGATCATATTACCTCTCAAGAAGACGACGATGCCTAACTTATCCTCTCTTTCATTACAAGAAGACGACGAAGATATCTGTCCGGTATGTGATACGGACTGTACATGTGGAACAAGTGCAGCTATGGAACCAGCAGCAGATAAACCCAAAGAAGACGATGTGGTCGAAAGAGTAGGCATCACAATGAAAAAGAAGCAAAAGAAAAGGTCGAAAAAGAAAAAGAAACACACTCAAGATAAGATCGTAACAAATGTTATTCAGAGGATAAAGGAGGGAGACGAAGATGAAGATGTGATTGTGGATGATCTGGATGATTTACTAGATTCGATGTCACCGTTATCAAACCAGGAATCAGAGCATGAGATTATTGATGAGAAGGAGCTATTTACAGATGAAAGTGAGCCTATTGACTCAGACGATGACGAAGATATTGAAGCAGCTGAAACTCAAGCAATTATAGAGGATATGACATTGAATACAGACGAAGATAGTAATAGTGACAGTGAAGAAATTATGTATATAGAAGATGAAGATCTTGATGATAATGAAGACGAAGAAGAAGAGGAAGAAGACAAATATGAAACAAGAGTGAGTTCGTGGTCAAGCTCAGATGATGAAGAAGATGAGGATGAATTTTCATTTTCTGAGCAAGAGACTTCACAGACAATGGAAAATGAAAATATTTACGACAATATTGTATCAGCATTCATGCACGCTTTAGCACCGAATGATCCAGGCGGAGCTGAATCTACAGGAGCAAATACACCCATTGCAAGTGAAGGAGAACAGCTATCAGCTTTTGAGCTGGCAAATGCACTCAGTCTAATTTCATCGCTTGAATCAACAAAGCAAATGGATATCTTAAGAAGGCCTTCATTACCGAGCAGTACAGTTTCTGCAGCCCAAAGGCATCGAGGATCTCAAGATATTACATCCGAAGCACTTCGTACCTTATCCACCATCATTTCCGACGATCTTTCCCTTTCATTTGACACAACGCATGCATCATCTTCCTCTACCTCTTCCTCTTCTTCATCTCATATAGACACGACATCTTTGCATATTCAAGAACAACTATTCGATTTCATCAAGCAATCAATAACTCCAGTGACAATAGATAATAAAAAACGACACTCAAAATCAGACGAAACAAACGATCAACATAAAAAGCGTAGACTGAGTCAAGCAGGTGGAGCAGAAGAGGCACAGGAAGTGTCTATGGATGATCTAGTAGACGTATCACAGCTTCACTCTGATGATGAAAGTAATGACCAAGACCATCCATATTCAAAGGATTTAAGTAGATGGGAGCGTATTCCAATCGGTGCCTTTCGTTTGATGAGATCAAAAAATAAACTTTGGCTCGAACGTTAAAATACTTTTTATTCCTTTTTTAATGCTGCTTGTCTCCATCTTTCCTCTCTTTCTGCTTTTAATTTTGCCAATGTATCTTTGACATCATCTGGTGTTGTAGGTGGTTTATGTGTTGCTTCGTAGTCTGGCCAGAATTTGATACCTTTTACATACTTGTCATAAAATTCTGGTCCACCAAAGTATAGCATGGTGCCTACTGGAAAGAATACATATATTCCAAACTATGATTTTTAGCTTTTATGATCCAATCATCACTTTTCTTACTTTGATAACTTCTAAGCGTGGTCCACCCATGGCAAAGTAAAATAAAAAAAAGACGAATGATTCTATAAAAAATTTCATGGACTTTAAAAACCATAGAAGGATAATTATTTTACCGAGATGACAACTGGTTTGCTTTATGCTTGGGCCCCATTTCTTTTTGTATTTCTTTTACCGAATTTTTTTTTAATGGCTGAAGAATCCGATCCGTTTGAATGTCGTTTGACCTTTTTATCCTTATTACAAAAACTCAATGCCTCACAACAATCAATTCATAAAGTAGCAAGTTATGCGATGCGACACCGTAAATTATCAGAAGACTTGTATAGTTGTTTAATCGAAGTACTTGAACAGGTAAAATATCGTCCTTTTTCTAAATGGGAGGAAAAGAGCTGTTGTTTCCTCTTTAAGATTATAGCAAGTAAAAATGTCAATAAATGTCTTGTTCAATTGTTAATTTGTTTCTTATTTTTATTTTTGGGTTCTTTGCTTTTCCTTACTCTAGGCGTCCACTAACGCCCGACTGAACATCATTTATGTACTGGATGCCATCTTTTCAGCTAGTCAAAAGTCAAATTTCACTGGTTATATAGAACTCACTCGACCTGATTTACCACGAATCATTCATGCAGTAGTGGCAAACGATGCAAAAGGTGTTGTCAACGTACCCAACACACAAAAGGTAATCGAGAGAGAGAGAAAAGAGTGTAAGCTAACAAGTTTGACATTAGATTGTAAATCATTGGAAACGGAAAGGTCTTTTTGAAAGTCATATCTTGGAAGAAGCAGAAAAGCCGTTATTAGAACGTGAACAATGGTATGATATACATGATTATCTTGGTAATAATATTAACGTCATATCCTAGCTCAAATACAACATCAACCAACGAATCATTTTCTAAACAAGACATACTACGAAGGATGGAAGAAGATAGAGAAAGGGTAAGGAATAAATCAAACAGATCATATGCTTATACATCTTTTCTATAGCATAAACGAATGAAGGAAGAGATATGGATTCGACCTCCTGAAGAAGCTAAAAATGCAGAATTTGAAGAATTTTGGAAATCAATTGACAAGTTGAACCCTGACGTGGATTATGATCAAATGATGTTTGAAAATAGACAAAAACTTCCTTATTACGCTTGGAACACTGTGTTTACTCAAAAAACCCAATAAAAGAAATTTTTTTTATTTAATAACAAGCAACGGATACTCTTAGATTAAGAATCATGCATCCAAACACTCTACGAAGTAGAACAGCACTTTTTTTTTTCGAGTTTTAGATTTCCACTTACTGCTAACTATACTAACTTGCACCTCTTTTGGTGCGTGTTTTTATAATAAATATCTGCAGTACTTCCTCTGATTTTTCCTTCCTTGTGGGTTCTCAAAACCAAAGTTTATACAGAAAATTAGAAAAAATATAATATATTATTATCATTTGCAAACTATGAATGAAGCTGCTGTCACTAAAAACGCCAGAGTCTATCAAAGCATAGAAAATACCGTTGCGGCAAGCCCAGCCTGCGCCTGTTAGTGCTGGTATGTAGCCTGGAGGGCAACTAAGTGCGGAAGGGCTGCAATTTTCAATGCTGGCGCTCTCAACGATGGATTTGACCATAAGAGAGCCAAGAACAGAGATAACCTTCATGTTTTTCAACTTGTGTATGATGGAGTAAAGAAAGCTGATGATAATAGATCATAATCCTTATTTATACTTGAAAAAGCATCGGCGTATTTATCTAAAACTTGCTTAGAGCGATTAATCAAGGGCTTTTATCTTGGCCTTGCATATAATCATGAAGCATAGCATAACTTATCGCCATGGAAATGTATTACATGGATACGATAACCTTAAAGAGAGCCAAAGTATACAACAAACATAAACATCTGTAGCAGCTCACGAAGGATAATAGGCGCGCTTACGACGGTGTCACTCTATGAAAGGCAGACTATAAATATTATGCGGCCTTAACTGCTTGGAGTAGTTAATCAAGGTAAATGACTATGCCATCTTCAAGGATTACAAAAGAGGGAACAACAGGAGCATATTTGTGGAGCACTGGGTAGCCTGGAATAGACTAAGCTTGGTATATTCCAGTTTCATACATTTACAGGAATGCTTATTGATCTCAAAACGAGAGCATGACCACGCAAGCTTCCACCGTTTGTGGAAGTGTGCATTGAACTATATCTTTGTCGATATCTTTTCTTTAAAAAGAAAATCACATATAGTGAATTGTATGCATAGGTACAATATGCGCTTTATGAAAGCTTATTTAGAGTAATATTCTAGGCAAATGAAAAGATGAACAAAATACACCAATGACTTTTGAAGACAGCATGTTTCTTTGGATACAGCTAATATGAACATAAGGATTATACTAACCTCTTTTGCTCCTGTCATATGGCTTTACTTTTATGAAAGGAGCAATAATGGGACAATAGAATTAATTCAAAAGCACTGCATATACACTATGTTATTCTTTCATGTTTCAAAATCTCATTTCAACGGTATGACGGTTTTAATTTTTGCCTTTGTCGTATTCGCTTGCATCTGGTATATGGCTCATAGTATGAATGAAATACCAAGTACTTCATCTTTCTAAAGCATATACAAGCTTTTGCTCTATAGTAGAACTACAGATTGAACATGAGAACTACTGCAGAAGAAGAATAGAATTGGTTTTATTTTCAATTATTCTGGAAGAATACAGTTTCCCTGATCATTCATAGGAACTCTTTCTACAGTTTGTTGCACTCCTACTGCTGAATTAACTAAAGCCAAGTGATTAAAGTGAGCTGTAAACATATAAAGAGCCTTCGTATACAAATATATAGATTACTAACAAGTAAACAATAATCACATATCAGAAGCTTACACATAAGAGATAGTCACAAAGACCTGAGACCATGATGTCCAAGTACTGAACTGCTGCACTTAATCTACATAACTCTGTCACTAGGCCAGAAGTCTCAACGCTGTTTACAAGGTTATTAGACTGTGTGCAAAGCATGATATTAATCTCTCTGTTAGAAAGACACTTGGATAATGCACTCGTAAAATTATTAGTGATGCTCAAGAGAGTGGCAATACCAGGTGTCCAGAACAAGTTGAGAACGGTAGGTGGGGTCTATTGGGGATGGATGAATAGCCTCTTCATTTTCACTTTAGTACTACTTACTGCTGTCAATGTGAGAAAGTCGGTCATTAAGCAAAGAAACACAACGCAATCTATCAGGATGGCGACAGCAGTTTCGCCTGTGGCTCTCGTGCTTTGTGCTACATGCAAAAAGGTAAATAAAAGTATCATTTATTGATTTGGTTCTATTTGCCTGAACTATAAAGATCTACACTGATTTTCCACTGCCTTAAATGATTAGCTTTTGTTCTCTTTTTTTTTTTATTTCCTCGAGTGTTACCATAAACCACAGATTGAGGCAAATGGCTATGACTTTACACCAGAAAGACCAGCCAACATACTTTTCAAACCACCTTGTAACATCTACTCTTGTAAGTGTATTGGGCATTCTTCTGTCTAAAGAGAATAAAAAGGGGGGAAGAATACAAGGACTGTTTGTAGATGCAAAGTATTTAGTCCAATTTGTAATTCATTCTATTATCCCATTTCTTTTCAGCGCTCTAAAAAACAAAAACAAAACAAAGCAAAAGCATGATCGCGCAGCGGAATGGCTGATGATCACTTGTGATCCAGCATGATGAGTCACTTCCTGCGCCTCATGACACAGGAATAAAAGGGTGGCACTGTCATTGATATTCTCTGACAATATAATGATCCAGAAATATATGACGAAGAGCATACTAGCACTTTTGTGTGTGTGACTCTTGTCAAGCTTCCAAAGCAGTAAGTCTTTTCCAAGAGGTACAGTTTTTTAACCTAAATTTAGACGATTTGAAATTTATTTTTAAAGTGGATCCCTGTGCTATCAAGTGCCTTAGTAGTCTTTATTGCAACAAAGCAAAGTACACTCAGTATGCTATTATTGAATACACATTTTCCTAACGTGCATCTTCATCTCTCACCAAGCAAAGTGATATACGAACTGACTTTGACACGCAAAGATGGCATAAAGGCTGTTTAAATACTTCTCGCAGTGATTTCATGTAAAATAAAGCAACACATTGCATTTAGTTATGTACAAATAATAGTAAATAGTTATGTGGATGGGCATTGTGAAGGATACTACTATCATGATATCTATGATTTAGGTCAAGCACCGTACAATAAAGGAGTAATCAATCTCAGAGCCAATCAAATGATCAATTTCCATAAAGCACACAACTATAAACAAAAGCTTATTATTGTCATATTTCTCTTGTGTGTGCGCAAAAAAAATAAAAATAAAAATAAAATTTCCTTTGCTAATCATGTTTTCCACTCTTTCTCTTCTTTACCACCTTTTTTAATTTATTGCCAGTATACCTCATGCTGCCCATGACGATTAATGAGAGGGAACTGTCGAGTGAAAAACCGAGCATAAAGCGTGTCACATTTGATTTAGACAACATACAGATTGAAACAATTTCTGATCACTCATCGACATGTTCTTCTTCATACTCCATCAGTGAACCTTCTACACCGTCACTTCCACCGATAAGAAATATTGAGCGGATATCTAAAAGAGAAAGCTACGACGCACTTCAAAAAAGACAAGAGATGAGGCGGTACTATCAACCAGGCTACTGGTATCCTTCGTCTTCACCGGTTACTCAGCAGCCACAAAGGTCTATAGAATATACAGAACAGCTAATAAATGAAATCATACGGCGAGAGATGGCACTTCATCCTCAGTTATTCTCTGTTTATACATCAAGAGAGAAGAAAAGGCTGTTTTTTATTCGAATTGTCAAGGCAGAATCACTTGATCTTCCAATTGAGAAAGGTAAAAAAAAAAAAAAGTGCATATGTGATATTCAGTTGAATTGATAAGTAACCTAGCAACAGATGAAGTATACGTGTACTGTAGTCTTCGATATAAAGACTTGGAAACTAAGTCGCACAAACAAAAATTATCTCATACGGTGAATATAGAATATCATGAAACTAGAATGTAAGTCAATTTATGATCAAGTAAATGACTTTTAACGCCTCTTTTCTAGTGAGCAAATAGATCCAAAGGAGCAAATAATACTCACATTACATATTGAGCGTCCACCATCAAAAAAAATGTCATGGTACCATCGAATTCGACCCAACAAAAAGACCCAAGGCGATCTTGATCGTTACGTAAATCCCAAAGATGGATCCATTTGTCAAACTGTATTTTCAACTAGTCGATTTATGGATAGTAGGAATATATCAACAGCTACATTATTGCTAGTGAATAACTGGTATCGGTCAAACCATCCGACGATGATGAACAAAGCGGTCATGGAAAAGGCGATTGGCAAGATCTACATAGAGTATCTTTGTTTTACCTATGATTCGACGCTATGTCATAATATACCAAACACGATGAAGGAAGCCAATGACATTATTCATCAAGGTTAAAAAAAAAAGCATGCACGGACATATATTAATGCCACACGATTGCTTGCATTTTAATAATGTAAATAAATCCTTTAATGAATTGTACATAAATCAAATTATTACACATCATCTTATTTGTTTACTTTCTAAAAAATGCTCAAGTCTATAATGATTTCTCTTGTATTTATTTTGCACATAAAGACTCTATGCTTACAACAGGCGCTATTAAAAGTTGAATTAAGAGTAAGAAAAGCCAATGACAGTAAACACACGCGGCTATTTAAGCTAGATGGTAATGAAGATAGGTAATGATTCCAGAAAAAATGGATAAAAGCATGGTACAGACCCACTTGTGATACCTGACACAATCGCTAACAACAAAAATATTTATAGGATTTCACATTCTGGCGCCATCGTCACCGTCACTGCATATTTCTTCTTACAACAGTTCCCCTGTTCATTATCATTGCGTTTATTGAACTTATACTCTTTTCTTTTCATTCCTTTCTCGCTTCTTTAGCTTCGAATCATTGGTGTTCAGTCTCAATAACAACTCCCAGTCAGGTCTCATCAATTTTGACATACACAAACACACACACACTAGTCTTTTTTTTTAAAAAAAAAAAAGCAAGGTAAAGCACCCTCAAAGAAGAATCAGTAATACAAACAAACATAGATATTAGCAAATACAGCACAATGGACACCGTAATAGTTTCATGAGCGTGTGGCATGTATAATAGGAAGAAGTCGAAAACATCTGAAAGAAGAGATATAAACAATAGTGTAAGATTCAAACATGGTAGGGCACAAATAAAAGGAAAGAAAACGAGATTTACTGGAATAGTAGCTCATAGCTCAAAGCTAAAGCACTGCTATGGGCCTATTGGATTAAAATTATCTGATACACTTCCCTAGCATGATGACCCATTAATACATTCGCTTTAATAATGCATAAAACATCAGCATAACAGAGGGCTCCACTTTGAAGGTTGACTGGTACTCCGTAAATACGTAATTGGGGTGAAGTATAAGTTAATCATCTATAAAGATATTCGTTCGTCTTTAATTTGAGTAAACTGGCTAGCCCAATTGATCGACATATATATTATAATAGCCACCTACTTCACATATAGTATATCCATTTCATAGTCTGCATTGTTACATATACTTTTAAGAATTGGATTACGTTCAAGCAGATGCTAATGTACAGAATCTATACAAACCAGATATTTTCTAATTAATAGTTTTTAATACCCATTTATAATGTCCAATCGTCGCCAGCCCTGATCATGAAAGCTATTGCCTGTCGTAAATGTGTAAATAGATTCAATTCTTTTTTCAAAGAAAAATCTACGCCACTATCCTTCACTTGTAATTGCATTGTTGAATCAAAGATGCACCGATGCAGAAAATGCTTAAAAAGATATACATCTCTCTTCGTTGCTAACACCTTGCTTCTCATTCACAATTCATATTTTCATAATTTTAGCTAGCTTTGTCTTGCTTTTTCATTACAAGATACGCGAACTCGAGTTTCACTAAAAAGAATCATTTCTCAAGAAAAAATGATTGCTGAAGCCTTTTTGATTGACATCCAGTTGACCCCTTCTAAATGTACGGTAGATTAGTATCTTAATTTAAATTTATATTACAATATAATGAGCCTATAGCTTGTGTTTAATATTATTTCTAGTATGAAACAAATGCTTTAGAATAGGAAACATGCTATTTGCAATTCGCTGTACGTTAGACAAGATCATATTGGCCTTCTGTATTTTATTCTTGTTCGATGGTTGCTAGAAGGGAGTAAGGCACTAAAGCAAAATGCTTTGCTCAGTTCAATCATCTTTTGTTTATTGACAATACGTATCTTCTTATGCTTTTTGATTTCTATTCAATTTTTTAACCTTTTATTTATGCTTCTTCTGTTTACTGTATTTTTTGACACGAAACCATTTTAATAAAGAAAAGCAAGGAAAATAAATAAGCAAATATAAATTCAGATGCTTATTCAAAGAACGTACACAGTAATAAAAAAATCGGTTAGCTTTATTATCAGTACGAATACCGAACTAATATGAAGTAAACGTGTTTCCCCCCGAGTGAATGCTTCCCTTGTAACAAACAGGAGGTTCAACATAATATGTGCAGCCAGGAGTATTCACGATAATGGCTTGCTTTTCCCAAAAAAGAAGAAGGTAATTCCATTTGTTATAGAATAAACCTGTTTCTTTTCTTCAAAGTAGATGAAAAACAAACAAACCCGAAAGCAACACGGGCTTTAAAAAATTAAAGTTGTTTTATTTTTCATCTCTTTTTCTAGAAACAAGCCCCTCAGGGGCTTTTTTGTACATTCTTGTTTTCTTTACAAAATCGACAAGCAAAACTAAGAATATATACTAATTCAAAATTCTTGAAAGTAGAATGTTCTATTAGTAAAGTAGCAGCAAGCTACTTAGAGTCAGTTGATAGTATTTTTGATTTAAAAAAAAAAATGTTTTTTACATGCGACATATTTTAGGTAATGCTTTGTGTACCAACATGACTTTTTATTCCAATATATTTGTAGTGAGCATAGTGTTTCCCTTAAAAGGAGGCGTACATCAATCATCTTTTTTTTTTTGTAAAAAAAAAAAAAAATAAAATAAAAAATAAAAAAAAATCTATGCATTGATATCAATCTTGAGTATACGCTTCGCTATTATGGTGCTATTATTGCCTTTTCCAATGCATCCAAATGCTTCAAAGACATCGCTCCAGCTATCTTCAAGACAGGGTTGCCCTGGTTAGGACAAGTACAATAAGTTTTCTCAGAAATAAAAATTTCGCACTATAGAAAAGCATTCTTCTGTCACACAAGGTAGGGTTACATCCCCTATAGTATTGAACTAGAAAGTATAATTTTACCCTTTCCTCAACTAGCTGAGATTCCCTAATACGAACTTCAGTTGTCAGTTGCTCCTTACACCTCTCCCTTTGAGTGTACATTCAATAACATTCCATGTTAAAAGAAGCTACTTGTGCACAGTCATGTAAAAAGCGCTAGTCGCTTTATATTTTAGAGCCAACCACTAGTGATCTGTGTTTTAACTGGTAGTCGTCATTCTTTGCAATCATTTGAAACAGATAAAATCACAAATCTAGATTTAAATTAAATGCAGATATCGTGATTGCGCTACAGAAACGCAATGGCCACTAAGAGCGAAGCATCACCGTATTCCCGACATATATCCAGCATCCCGGTTATTTCTTGTCTATTATCATGTCATATTCTTAGGCAACAAATGTTACTATGATGATTGCCCTTGTCTTTTTGATTTTTTTTCTGCACATTTTGTTTCTCCCCATGCACGTTCGTATCACACGGGGTTTGTCAATTTGTTTGTAATTGACATTTTTGGCAATTTTATAACCAAGATAGTGGCAAGGTACGCTCAATTCACTTAAAGTCTCCCTTCAGATAAAATTGCCAAGCAAATGCTCCTGAAGATCTTTAGATTTGTCATTCTTTGGCTGGGGTATAGCACACACTTTTGAACAATTGTTCACTTTGTTCTACCCTTATTAAACACGGCTAGAGCAATGAGATTTGTTTTATCCATATTGGGAAAAACTATATCTACAGAATAAAACAGCTATTCCATAAAAAAAAAAAAATATGTATCTGCTTCACTGAGACCTGACGTTTGAATCTTGAAATGACGACATTAATTCTTTATGAAGCAAATGTTTTACTATGGAAAAATCCCTGTTTAAGTAATAGACATCACATAGACTTGTATGAGTAGTCTCTTATAGTACATGTGTTCAAATATATACACTTATGGGATTTTCCATTTACATCTGGCGCAGATTACGTGTGGAACATTCTATTTTGTTCTACGGCATTATGGAAGTAGGGAGAACAATACCGGTGAAAAAAAAGATTGTGGCTTAGTTGAGGATGAAATAAACAGCACTTTACTTTATTAGTTAAAGGCTAAAACCTGCCCTATATTCACACACACACACGACGGACACACACATATGCACAATACAAGTATTCTTTTTTTTGCCATTTTTCTTTTTTTGCTTTTTCTGCCTTTTTTATTTATTTAAATTTTTTTTTTTTTCTACTAACAATAAAAAATAATAAAAAGTATGCCAAAGCCAGCTATTAAGAAGACAATACAAGGCATCTATGAAGCAACGTTTAGTGAAGTTGGTGATCAATTTCTAGATGTGTTAGTTAAAGAAATTGCAATACTTTTTAACGTACAAACAGTAATGATCCATCGATTACTATCAGCCAAAGAGTTCAGAGATATGAAACACAGTGAAGGATGCCCATCGATTCAGCTTATCAAAACCCCCAACGCTCATTTATCAGCAGACGAACAGTATCTATTTATTAAAGCTTGTCATTCTACTTTACCCCAGCAACCCGCTTTGTAATCGTCATAACCATAACGTAATTTTTTGAGTTTGTTAACCTGTCGTTTTTAGAGCCAAATATTCTGCCGTCGCACTATCTTCATTTCCAGACAACTCACCGCATATAAAAACATTGGAGGATGCAGCTCATTATGTCACACAAGATGCATCATTGTCAGGCACAGTGTATCCCAGTTACAGTAGCTTTGTAGGACTTCGACTAGACTTAGATTCACGAGAGCCAATAGGCCTCATCTCTATTATGCATGACAAATCATTAGAAAAGCAACAGTTAGACCATATTTCCTGTATTCTCAAAGCAGTGCAAAGGAGAGTTACAAACGAAATCAGCCGTTTGAGACAAAGAGACAATCTTATTGTGATCAAGAATGCTGCCTTGCAAGATGCAGAATATAAACTAAGGTTTTTAGCAGATATGAGCCATGAAATAAGGTATACATTTATATACATACATTATTATAAATATATTATGTATGACGTAAGGGCTAATATTAATCTTAAAAAGAACGCCATTAAATGCTGTGGTTGCATTAACAGACCTGCTGCTTCAAGAGAAACAATCACTGAATGAAGAACAAGTTGAACATTTACAAGTAATACAAACAAGTGGAAATCATTTGTTGACAGTGATAAACGACATATTGGACTTTTCAAAGATGAATCATGGTTCAAAATTCAAGCTAGAATACAGAAAGTTTAGCTTAAGAAAATGCATCAAAGGTTTGCTTTTATTACTCCTATATAGCTTCTTTATTCATCCATGACTCTATATATAGATGCTTTAAATATGGCCCGACATCAAGCTGCTAATTCTCAATACCCCAAACAGATTCACATAGTTGAATGTCCTTTGGAAATAAAAGACGACATTCCAGTACCTCAACTCCTTCAACAACTAGAAGCATCCGGCATACTTGCACATAAACATGGTACGAACCAACAGACATCCCTACCATTCATTTGGAAAGTAGATCCTGATATACCCGATTACCTCATGGGTGATTCGATGCGACTTACTCAAATTTTGATCAATCTTTGTTCAAATGCTGCCAAGGTTATTAGTAAACACGAGTGAAACAGAGAAACAGCAATCCTTAAACCACTTGCGTGATTGATTCTTTCTTTTTATAGTTTACCAAGCAAGGCGGCATACACATTAAGATATCAAAGCCCGATACAGATAAATCCAACTTTAGGGAGCGCTACGATGCTCGTGTAGAAAGTGTCTATCAAAAATATGCCATGCGACGGAGGAAAAAAGCACCGATGGTAACCAGTAGTGATTCGAGTGACAGCTGTTACTATTATGAGACAGAGGATGAGCAGACAGTACCTCAAGAAGATCAAAATGGACGTGTCGTTCTCGAGATTTCAGTGACGGATACGGGCATTGGTATGCCGGCTTCTCGGCTTCCTTTACTCTTTAAATCCTTTTCTCAGATTGATATCTCAACTGCGAGAAAGTACGGCGGTACAGGTCTCGGACTAGCCATCTCAAGCATGCTTGTCAATCGTATGGGTGGTGGTCTCTGGGTTGAGTCCGAAGAAGGAGTTGGATCACGATTTGCTCTCACTTTGCCCATAGCGATCGCTCAAGATATACCTACTTCCCCTTCCTCCTCTATCTCTAGTACCGAAAGTCTCTGTACGCCTCGACCTTCTGAACCAAAAGCGCAATCTACTATTCAAACTAATATTCATAGTCATAGTCATAATTTACAACATAATAATATACCCGACACCAAGTCAACAGCATCAGGATTACAAAACATGATTTCAAAAACACATCGACCAGAGACTGTGCCTAGAAAGGTGCAGCAGGAAGAGAATCTGGCTTTAGAACATCCAATCAAGGTTTTACTGGCAGAAGACAATATCTGTAAAATAATAACTTGCCTCACTCTTTTCTGTATGCGTGGATAACTCACCTTTTTCTTTTTTTTAAAAAAGTAAATCAGAAAATTGCTTTGAGTATATTAAAGCGATTAGGATATCAAGATGTGACCATTGCATCCAATGGAAAAGAAGCACTGGATTTAATACTCAAACAAGAGTTTGATGTTGTATTTGTATGGACTTTTTGTTTTTAATTTGAATTTTTACTAATCAATCTATATATTTATATAGATGGACCTTTATATGCCTGAAATGGATGGACTAGAAGCAACAAGACATATCAGACAGGAACTCAAAAAGAACGTCTATATTATTGCCTTGACCGCTTCTGCTTCAAAGCAGGATCGTAATATCTGTATAGAGTCAGGTATGAATGACTTTATTAGCAAGCCATTTACAATGACAGAAATGAAAGCAGCATTAAGAAAAGTGTATACAGCCAAATAAAGAAAAACAATTAGAGTAATGGACATGAGTCATAGAAGATAAAAGATGTCAAACCCTTTTTCATAACAGGTAAAAGGGGTTCTTTTGAGCATATTTTACACTATTCAGAAATTATTCGCACACTGATAGAAAAATGATAATTTCAGACAGCAAATAGTGATAAAAGAGAGCCCATCAGAAGCAAAAGAAATGGGATATAAAAGAAATGATTAGTAAATCAATTATTTACATTGATATTAAATACTTACATTATAAACAAGAGAAAAAGAGAGGCAAGAAAAGCGAGTAAACATATAAAGAGGTTATCAATTTCTTATCCGAAGTGTACTATTATGAACTAGCGATAACTAGAACGGAAAGAGCAAAGAAAAGAGAGCAAGCAAAAAGGAGAGTCTTTTCTTTTCTTTAATCTTATACAAACCTGTTAAAAGAAGTGATGTATTGTTCAATTTTTTACTCAAGACTACGCTTTTCGACATTACATTGCCACTCTCACTATAAAAACCTATCACCGTTAGGTGTTTCTTAGCATCAATTGCGCCTTATATCAAAACATTCAGAGCATTTCATAAACACTATTTGTACTCCCCTTAAAAAAAAGGCTTTCCTAAAACAGTAAAATATCTCCTTTTTGTTTTCTTCTTTCTCTCTCGCCTTCATCATGGATTATAAACAGACTTTGTTTGAAATTCAAAAGAGACCTGGTAATCGTCTTTGCTTTGATTGTTCTGCACCTAATCCTCAATGGGCAAGCGTAAGTTATGGCATCTTCATTTGCTTAAACTGTTCAGGAGTTCATCGATCCTTTGGTGTTCATATCAGGTACAACTTGTCATTATAAAATATGCATCTTCTTTATTAAAAGCTTTTATAGTTTTGTCAGATCAATCACTATGGATAAATGGTTTGATGACCAATTGAAAAAGATGGATGTAATGTATACCCTAAACGAGCCCTTATTCACAATCTAATTCTTTTACTCAGATTGGAGGCAATGAAAAAGCCAAGGAGTTCTTTGAGTCACAACCAGAATACTCAACCAACATGACAATCACACAAAAATATCATAGTCGGTTCGCAACAGCTTATCGACAAAAGGTAAAATTGAGATATAAGAACATATAGATTTTGTTAAAGATAACAAAAATATAGCTGAGTACAGAAGCAATGGATCGACCTGTAAATATCACAAAGCAACGGTAAAGAATACATACAGCACGAAATACCCATTGATTTACAATTGTCCTTTATATGTAGACTGACGACAACCTTTACCAAAAACAGCGGTAAGTTTGTAGAACAAAGATAAACAAACAAGTTAATAAGATAAAACTGTAGTCAATGATGAAGAAGACTTTTTCGCAGCAACCATTCGCTCTTTACAAAACTAGAACTTTTTATTATTTATTCACACATATCATTTATATAAAGCTATTCAAAAGGGTTACGAGCCAAGACACGGATCAGCGGTGGATTTCGCACAGGATAAGATTCTACAATGACTTTGACGATATCGAACGGAGCAATGACTTGTCTGGCTTCTTCAGGGAACAATACGTCTTCCTCTTGCTTCTGGCAGATAGATCGTCTCTTTTGATTAGTTGGGCTTGTTTGTTGTTGTTGTTGTGAAGTCTGCCAGATGAGATGTAATTTGTTTTCGTTTGGATCAAACGTGTCTGATTTCAATGGTAGATGAATGGTATGAATGCGACGCTCTAGTAGCAATGGCAAGACGATGACATCAAATGCACCTTCTTGGATACCTACGACAACCGCATCGTACTGTTGAACAGAATCCAGATAACAGGACAGGAATAAATGCTGAGCGTTCTCCATGATCTGTCTAGCCGCTTTCGCTTTAGCGTTACATTGTTGAGCTATCCTCTGCACCGTCTCTGTCTCCAGATGGAAGGTTGTTTCTGAGAGAGCAGATTGGAGCTGATAATGAACTAGCACATCAGCGTATCGTGTCAGAGGCGAAGCAAAATGGGTGTAAAGTGGAACATCGAGTCCGTGGTGGTAAAATCGTGAGATATCGTAGACGCCTGTACAAAAGTATTTCTCAGTAGAGAACGTTTTAAGAAGCAGAGCACGAACGACCTGCTGTACCTCAGGCGGTGTCATCCGATCGATGGACTGCTCAAATGCATGAGGGTCCAAGGTGTATCCAAGCTCTTTCAGATAGTTCACGAGCTCCTTCAATTTACGTGCATGATGGGGAGGCTGTGAGACAAGGAGCGCTTGATCAGGCAAATGGCTGGCAATCTTTTGAGCAACATATTTGTTGGCAAGGATTTGGAATTCTTCAAATAATACTTGCCAATGATCTGAGACTTCGACCTGGGATGGCTTTGTGCTGCCTTGTTCAAAATGAAAGACGAGTTGTGGCCTTTTGAGACCATGTCGTCTATTAGAGTGAAGCATACAGGCGACGGAGTATAGAGTCAAAATATCTGTCTCGACACCTTCTTCATCAATACTATCGAGGTCGAGAATGTCTCGAACATTCTTGTCTGTCAGCATCGTGTTTGAACTGCACAAATATAAAAAAGATTAGTTTAGAAGACATTTCTTGTATTTTTATGCTTACTGAATCATTGTTCTTCCAAACCACGTATCCGCAATCTTTCCGTCCTCAGTGAAAGTCCAGATGACAGAGAATGCACCACGATCCTGGTTCTCGGTCAATTCCACCCGTTCTCGCAACTCATCAGGCCAAATCGGTATATGCTTCAAAACACCGTCCATTTGTATACCGCGTGATCTTGCCTCTTTCTCCAGCTGCGAGTCAAGTTCTACTAAGGAGGTCACATCGGCCACGTGAAAGCCTACTTTGACCGTCTCCTCCATTTGTTCAATCGAGAGGGCGTTTTGTTTGTCTTTGCCGATGGTAAAGCAAGGCACATGGCGCAGGTCCAACCGGTCTTCAAATGCGTCGGTAAGCGAAGCGTCTAGAGATAAGACATCAGTGGAGGCATTGTTATCAGCAAAGATGGCATCCAACTGCACTTCAACATCCTTCACACTTCCCAGTTCTCGTTCGAGTACACCAAAAGGATGCAGGGAAGTGATAGGCCAACGACGGATAGAACTCAAAAAGAGACGATGCTCAAACAAGTTTGGACTTTCTACAAATCCTGGAGGGGCTTGTTCAACAGGGATAGCGATCAGTGGTACACGTTTATCTGTTGGCTTAAACCAAATGATACGAGGTGGATTATTCATGCTATTTCGCCTTTCTTGTTGAGGGCCATCTGACTTTTTATGACTCGGTCTTGTTAGTCCTAGCGTTCTAGAAAGAAAAGAGTAAGTGGGAATTATGAATCATGTTTTATTTTATGTACCCTGAAAAAACTTGATTTTGTGCACGATCAAGTATAGCGACGACGGTTCCACAATACTTTGGAGGTATCTGTTCTACATCATCTTCACCGCCAAAAATAATTTCCTTCTCATCCTCTTCGTCTGGTTTTCTTATCAATGGCTGTCCATGGTTTCTGGCCAGCTTGGCTTCTTCTTTTTCATGTTTTTCCATCAAGACCCGCTCGACCTCGACAAGCTTGACAGCGACATAATCGCCTTCCAGTGCACGGTTTCGATCTCTGGAGCCACAGATGTAGATATCACTGTTGAGTTCTTCTGAAAAGACGTACGCATTGGACCGGTTGCGACGATTGACCCGAAGCAGCCCACTGACCAGAACGTGTGACTTGATATGAGGTAAGACAGAAGAAAAGGGCAAATGGGAAGTAAAGAGGGGTTTACGGTCAAAGAGGCTCGACATCGACCCAGTGGAGAGGCGTGCAGATGCAGGCCGACTCGTAGGCGTGGCCCGTTTCGTCACAGGCTCAGATAAGCGGCGAGTCAGCTTGGCCTCTGTCTCAGCCAAGACGTCAGCCCTTGACATCATGATCGCTTCTTCATTGACAGGTTGAAGTGAGGCTCGATAGGTGCTTGTAGGACGAGGTGCCAGTTCGACCGATCGACGCCTTTGCTGTTGCTTTTCTCTTCTTTTCGTAGGCTACAAAAAGGAAAAGGAAATGATTAAAAAAAAAAGAGATAAAATGAAATTGGGTTTACTTCTGGAAAATCAAATAATCCACGAGTGGATTCGGGTGCAGTCTGACCTTCAAGTAAGTTCATGTGAATGAATGGAAAAAGAAAGTAATATAATAAAAATGAATAGTATTAATACAGCATGTATTAAGAAAAGAAGAAGAAAAAGAAAAAGGGAGAGAAAAAAAAAGAGACAGAGAGAAAAGAGAGGGAAAAAAAAAAAGGAAAGAAAGAGAGACGAGTGACATAAATAAAAGGAGAAGTCAAGTTTTTTTTTTTGCTTTTTTTAAGGAGACTATAGAAAGTTATTTTGTGTTTTGATTGAAACTTTGTTTATAAGCGGGGATGCATACATTATATGCAATGCGCCCTTTCTTTACTCCTTTTTTTTATTTTTATTTGTGTATTAAATAAAAAGTTGATAGCGCGCGCGTCAAGTCATGAGAGCAGCCTCTTTAAAAGAGTTACACACAGTAGATGTTGCATAAAAACTCATTTGAATTGTTCATACTCTAATGGTGTCTGAACCCAAGATTGGAATACTTGATCTAGTAAGCATGTCTTTGCCTTTTGGTATTCTATAGCACCTTGTTTCCATTCTGAATAGCTTTGGTTCTCTTTCTCCTCTTTTTGATAAATAGCCAAGAATTCATGAAACATATTCAATTTACAAATAGATGGTCTATTCTTCACATTTCAATACTGTATCATCCATAAGGTATAGAGAGCTTACCTTGTCTTCGCAGTCGTCGGCTTTCCTTTGGGAGCACCTTGCTTTTGTCCATTAACAAATACTTCGGATTTAGCCATACCTTTAACCCATAAGATAGCTACCAAAAAAAAAATTGAGTCATGATATTTTGACACTTTTTTCCTTGTATTACATGTTGAAGAAGGAATAGTAGATGCATATCTTTTCTCTAAAACTGATTTGGATGCTTCAAAAGGTATATCTGTCTTGTCAATCATTGGACAATTTAGCCTGTAAGATGATGGTAAACCTTCAAGTGAGCTCAAACGTTGGCAAAGGGCTCGTTTGATAGCTTCATGGTCGTACATGTCACCAATAGTGACAGATGAAAGATAGATAGGGTGAAACAAGAAAGTTAACAAGGCAGATTGAATACCCAATACATTCCAACGTGCCAATTTGTCACTTTGTTACAAAAAGTGAGTATATTCTAGTGTTTCATGATTATCATATAATTTACCTGCATGACATGCAAAGTGTAGGCTCAGAATCCACACGTCCTATATTTTATTTTCCCATAAAATGAGCCACATTCTGCTTTGAATGTTACACTTTTTACCTGGCTTTGTTCTTAAAACACCTAATTGGTCATATTCAAATCGACCTCTTCTAAATTGTTGGGCAGATACCTTTTGCTTCTTATTGATATACATATTTTCTGTTAAATACTCTACCATCCGTTTCCTTTTATTTGAGCCAGATTGAAATTGTTCAAATGATTCGGATGTTTGCTGTGCGGCCAGGGCTGTCATGGAAGCATCACCACCTAAGATGAAATGATGAGTGATTGTAAGAAAAAAAAAGACGTGCTCATATTACAAGGTGATTGACTGATGTACATATGAAATGAATATTCTGGCCTCAAAGCCAATTTCCCGTTCTTTTTATGAAAAGGGGAATCTTGATGGCTAGGATCAAAGCTCTTGGCGTACTCTAGTAGAAATCTAGATAAAATAAGAATACCATCTCACACACACAAGACTTACTTGATAAAACCTCGCCGAGCCATCACTTCTGCATGACTATCATGCAGTGTATCACCCGCTTTACTGAGTTTACTAAATGGCAAGCATTTCAATCCAGTGCTGTACTTTGCATATATTAAAATAATGCCCTTGAAAACAAATATCCCTATTGTTTACCCTAATGAAATGACCTCGATCGATTGAGAGGCTACATAATAGGAATTATTATGATGCTTATATCATTACACTATTATTACACTCATGCACCATGACAATAGAAGCTAATACTGTCCATTCTGCCTTTGTTTCATGAAAGATAGGTTTCCCTTGTTTTGGTAATTCTTTATATTTTTTCAAAGTCGCATTCACAATGGCATCAGGGTCATGTTTCCAAGACATTTGAAAAAATTTTACTAAACAAAAAAAAAATTTGGCGGGTTAATTTTTATTGAGAATGATAAAGGGGTAAGGAGTTTTTTGTTTGGAGGTCATTTATCTCTCTATGCAAACTCTTTAATGCACTTTCCAGTCTTATTACCATTTTGCAACGTTAAACAACCTATGCTCTTGTGCAGCAAAGGAAGAACTTCATGTTAGCATTCCTTTGGGCAATTTCGGAATTAATCCTTCAATCAGAGTAAGGTCAAAACAAGTTCATGAACTTAAGCTTCCTTTGGCTATTAGTATGACTCTAAATGCTTCTTTTCCTCTTTGGCTTATGAATGAGGGCTTCGATGATTGCCAACGCCCACTTTTTTTTTGTATGCATCTTTGTATATACTGTTCCTGACGCCTGCTTTTCCGTATTCTTTGTAAAGCTTTTGATATTGTCAGGTCATATTGAGAATATCTGTAAAGGTACAGTTTACTTGTTGGCAGTTGCGCTAAGAAATAAACACGGGAAGCACTGTTGCTTTAATTTGTATGTTTGTTTTAGTTTATATGACCTTTGTATTTTTAATGTTTTGACGGCACTTTTTATTTATATTGTTGATACTATATCTTAAAGCAAAAACGAGACTACTTCTTATAGTGTTGATTGTTGTCAATTTTACGTAAAAGAACTAAAGATAAAAGAGAGAGAGTGTGTGTTCTTGGATTTTATAGCTGTATTTGAATTACAGTTTTCGTAGATTGACACTCCGGTCAGTCCGATTTGTTTTTACACCTCCAACTGAAACGAATACCGTTACGTTTCACTGTCGCATTGAGAGAGACAGGCAGAATAGGGGGAGATCACAGCCGGTGTGTTAACACTCGCAATGACAAAGTATTTGAATTTTAACAAATTTAGAAAAACAAATTTTATCGCGCTCATTTCAGTGTATAAACACACATATATTTAATAAAGCATTTTCGTTTATATTAAATTGCATATAAAAAGAGACTCAAGAAATAAACCGAAGAATACAGCTTTCTTTCTTTCCTCTCCTCCTTCTTTCCTTTCAATGAACACGATGCCATTTCCTATTCTTACATGCACAGACCCAATTCAACTCTCTGAATTTGTAACACAAATGGTACCCAAGATATGGACTGGTACACCTTTTTTAACAAGTGATCGTTCAACAACATTTAAACTATTTTGTCAAAATATCCTAAGGACAACTCAAATCAGCAGTTCATGTGTACTCATCGCTTTATTCTACATCTATCGACTAAGATTCGCTTATCCAACCATACAAGGCTCAGCAGGGTCAGAGATCAGATTATTTACCACAGCACTTATACTAGCCAATAAGTTCTTGGATGATAATACTTTTACCAACAAGGTAACAACGGCAACAACAACAGCTATATGAAGCACTTTGTAGGAATCCCCCCTCTAATGCTGATATCTATCTATAGAGCTGGTCACAAGTATCAGGTGTGCCTGTACACGAACTAAACATTATGGAAGTCGAGTTCTTATCTGCACTTCAATATCGAACCTATGTCCATCATCTTCAATTTTTCTCTTGGATCAATCAATGCAATCACTGGCTCACCTTTCATCGTCCTCTGATACAAAAGCCTCAGCGAAGAAAGAGACGTGTGCATCCCTGGCATTATTATTATTATCCTGCAGCTTCTTCCATTGCCACTGCCGCCGCAGCCACTGCAATGAATGTAAATAATTTCATTCCAAAAGGGTTTTAATAATATCTTTCCCCCTTTCCCTAATATATATTCCTGTTGAGCCTACATAGATTTTTTTCTTTTTATTCAAAGCTTGAAATGTAAATAAATCGAATATCCTCGTACATACATTATATAGTTAACCGCTTTCTTTCCCCTTTTCTGCAAAGTTCTAATTGAAACTATGATGTTTTCTCTTTTTCTTTAAAATTTCAATCTCTTTTTTTGAATCAAATACCTTTGCCGTCTCTCTTTCCCTTTTATTTTTTTTTATCTGTGCTTTTTAGCCGCGCGGCATGCACGCAAGCGCTTATTCAAATACATGCATGTCTCTTAGACAGTAACAAGAGATGAGTATGTTACTTTACACAAAATATGTAAACTCGATGGATGAAAACTTTTTCTTTTTAGACTGAATCAGTTCAGAAACATACATTGTTTATGAGGAATTATGTTCAATAGACCAAGTTTCGGGATACCCTTTGTTTGATATTGATTATTTGATCTTTACATACAAAACAAATGAGCAGCATTCATTCAGCTGAGCTGATACCGTAAAGTCATTACTTGAAACAAGAAAGCATGATGGTGACATCAATCACTAATGATATCTTTTTTTCTTAAAAGGACAAAAAAAAACCGCCTTGAGCAATTCAAAGAGACACGTATCAGTGAATGGATATTTGAAATGCATCCTACTTGACAAATGAGGGCCTATATAGAAAAAAAATTACAAAGCACGGCAAGGAAGAATGAATGTTAAAAGCTACCATGCATATGTACTAGCATGTAAGTATACATTGTCCTACTGGTATGCTTAAAAGCTGAGCAATAACTATAGACTGAAAAGATAGACAATAGAAGGGGGGATTATAGACGAATGACGGTTTGACCTTGTTCTTAAACCGCATAAAACATGCTCAAATGTGTATGTCATGAGACATTACATTGCTCTGTAGAATAAATGGATGTTGTATCATGAGATTATTTGAAACTGAGGTCAAGCTCAACCGAGGAAGATCTATTCTATTTATAAGTCAAACACCCCTGGCTTTCTTTTAAAGCTTTATTTGTTATCTTTCTTAATGCTCTCCATCAAGTCAAGTATGTACAGTTTGGGTATATGTCAATCATAAGAGAACACTAGAATGTTTAAAATACAACTTCTTTTGATTGAGGTAATAATTGTAAGTCTCTAACTTGATGCAAACTCGCCTTTGAGCCAATGAACTCCCATGCTTTACTCTGGGTCAAATAAAGCCGAACAAACGAAAAAAAGGACCTTTATTGATTCAAGGTCAAAGTAGCCGTGCCATAGGATCTTACAGACTGGCTTTAACTATTGCTTATGATCTATATATATACCATATTCTGGATTTTGTCAAAGAGAAGGACAAAAATAATTGCCCGACTCATCCGGGACCCGGAATGATGTAACCGATAAATGAACATTTTCATTAGATTGCATAAGGTACAAGTGGCGTCTTGATTACTGAAAAGAAAAGTAGGCGCCCTCATTGGTTAAACCGATCAAGATATCTCTTTCACTACTGTAGAATCTAAGCTAATTGAAAAAGAGCCATCGAGGTCTCTATAGAAGCCTAAGAAAAAATCTATGACTTATCTCAGTTTAAAGATAACTACAGAGACGCTGTAAAAACACAAATACCGAATAAAACCGATCTTGCTTACAAAGCACAGATAAAACCAAGTATACATATCGTAAGTTGTTACTATCTATAGAATCTATCATCGCCTGTTGAATCTCCACTTTACTATTGAATGACTCATGGTCTTCGTGCGGCCAAATGCTTCATATACACACAATAATTAATAAAGACACATTGACAATCGTTCTACATAAAGTAGGAGTGGTTTTTGTTTACTTATATTTTTTTCTTTATATTAAATGATTTCTTTCATAGACTCTGTTTACTCAAAATAAATAACTTTTGTCGGAATAAGCTATTCCGGTCTGTCAACAAGCTTTGAATGCGCTATAGGATTTGCCAAACAAAACAACGCCCAAATTCTACTTTACGTAAGCTCGTTCTTTGCTGCAAAATAAAAAGACCTATGGGGTATCATCGTCGATAACAATGATAATTTTGATATTTTACAAGATAGTCACCTAGCAAAGATGTTTAATTGCAGCAATGCTTTTGTAAAATAGGAAGGAGTTTATGACTTGAGACTTGAGTTCTGAAATCTGGTTTTTGATCTTGAACACTCGAACTGTCCTGTCACTTTCATACAGCGGTTCCATCCATGACAACTTGCTATAGATAAACAAAGAAAGGCTGTAGATGTATGAAACGCGTTTAATGCCAAAATACAACAAGGAGACAACAAAAAGACTAGGAAGAAAGAAAGGAAAAAAAGAGGCGCATTTAATACCAACCTCAAGAAATAGGAGGAGGCGAAAGAAATTACGCCAGAAACCAGGAACTTATACTGTCAATTACTGTGGTAAAATCATTGTTTCTTTAAATGCATCATTGTAGACCTAACTATGCAAGATGCGCACTTTAGAAAAGAAGTGTTTGTTAAACTCGTGCTAGAGCAAACCTATAAAACCTCTCCCGTCTTTATGAGTAAACAGTACGAAAGGTAGTCCTTTCTGACCTCAATCTTACTAAGCATATCTGATCCTATCTTAAAAAATGTATGGACAAGCGCAGAAACCAGGTGATTAATGCAATAGAGTTCGAGACTGCTCATTTAAAGGACGTTGTGATGCCGGTATAGGCTATTCAATGGCTTTGGCTTGAAGCATGTCTTTGGAAAGTACAGGATATTATCGATGCGAGGAAAGAGAGAAAGATAATTGTAGAGCCAACTTCATTCGCTCTAGTCTCAGCTTTTGTCAGGATGTAGACCTGTTATGACCAATAGTGGAATTTCATTGAAAGGTATGGTAATATTGACAATTGCCCTAGTACTTGGAGATAAGGGTTAGGCACCATATAATTTAATTGTTCTATGATACTTTGAAGAGTCTGCTGTGCCAGCTATAGTTAGCCTACTCTGTTTATTCCAATTGACATATGACGCCCTCGTATACTGTCATTCGGATGAATTGTACAAGAAATGAATATTCTCCACAATAGAACGAAAGAAGAAAGAAAGACGTTAAGGATACTTGGTGCCCTATTGTTAACGGTGTGTAACATATAAATGTGCAAAGAAGATTTCTAAGAAAACGACAAGTCGAAATTCAAAAGGCGATAGCTAATTCTATAATCACGATCATCCGAGATGGTCAATGTATGTATACATTTGTCATAAAGGATGGGATTGCGTCGTTCAGAGGCTGAAATATATAAAAATAGAGTACTCTGCATCTTTCCCAGTCAATGTTTTACAACCTGCAATTGTTTTTGTCTCAATCGGGGCTGTGTTGTGTTGTACAACTTAATGTACCATGCAGATAAGCCCACACCTTGTGAGTAATAGCCTAATAAGTAGGCTATATTTCTAAAATTAAATTATTGTTCGTTTCCTGGAATTCACAAAATAGTTTTTTTGACTAAAATGGAAAAAAGCTTTTTTTTGTAGAAAATATAGGCTGAAAATGACAGTAAATGATTGACAAATAAAAAAAAAGTTTCCCCCTTACTGACGCACAAAAAAATAGAGTATAAAAAGGTACACTTGTTCTTTTTATTACCTTTCTTCTTTACTCCTTTTTTTTATCCCTAAAAAATACATAAAAGATGAAGACACTTTCATTGATTGTCCTTACTGTTTTCTCTACTTTATCTTTTGCCCAAAACACCACCTCTAGCACCAGCAGTACTTACCCACCTTCTGGTAAGGTGCCAACCCCCAAGCCCGAATGGCTTGAATTGATCAAGGGCGCCAACATTACCAATGCTCCCGTCCTTAAGAGCAATGGTGATAATGGACCTAGTACCAGTGGCGAAGATAAGTACTGTGACTGGGCCAAATCTGGATGTACCGGATCCAGTATTTACGATTGTCCAAAGGGTCAATGGGGGCTTACCTTTGATGATGGACCTTCTACTTTCTCACCTGTGCTCTATGACTTTTTGAAAACAACAAATCAGAAGGCAACCTTATTCATGATTGGCGCCAATGCCGCTCAATTCCCTGATCTCGTCAAGCGTGCCTATCAAGAAGGCCACGAAATTGCTATCCACACTTGGTCTCATCCCTACTTGACTACCTTAACTAACGAACAAGTCGTTGCTGAATTAAAATGGACTGAACAAGTCATCAAGGACATCATTGGAGTGTCCCCTAGACTTTTCAGACCTGTAAGAGAAACCATCTGTTATGGTATACGAAATAGTAATTCTTTTTTTTTATTAGCCTTATGGTGATATTGATAACCGTGTCAGAGATATTGGTACTGCCCTCGGTTTTGAATGTAAGTGCAGAAAGAATCGGGCTTCTTTTGTTAGCTTAATTTACCGTTTATTTTTATTATAGCTGTCATTTGGGACCATGATACTAATGACTGGATGGTAAGCAATCTTCAAATACTTTTTAAGCCAGTTGTTCATTTCTGTATATAGTTGGCTGAGCACGCTCCAGGTTTCAAGCAAGAATATATTGATGGTAACTTCTCACAATGGATTGCAGAAGCCAGCACTTCCCAAACAGGTGGTCTCTCATTAGAACATGATATCCAAAAGGTTACTATCGACATTGCTATCAAGAATTTGCCCGCTCTTCAAGTAAGATTGAACACTCTATTACCTGTATTGTATACTTATTCTTATATGTATAGAAAGCTTACAAGGTCGTCACTGTCGGTCAATGTGCTGGTGTTGCTTCCTACAAGGAATCTAATGCTACTGTACCTGTGAACACCACGTTAACTAATACCACTACCGCCACTAATGCTTCCGCCGCTGCTTCTTCTACCCAAATTGCCCTGACTTCTGTTGCCACACCTTCTCCTTCAGCTGCAAATAACGTAGCTGCAGCCAACGCCTCCACTTCCCCCAAGGCCAATGTTGCTGGCTCCTCGGCTTCTACTGTTACCATCTCTAGTGTATTAGTACTATTATCTGCCATCTCTACTCTCTATTTTGCTTAATTTATTTGTAATCTTTTCTTGTATTCAATATAATATAAACGTATTCTCCCCTCTCTTGTAATTTAGAATACTCGAAGGGGACGATCATCTCCTTATTAAAGGGGGAGATGTTCTTATAAACAATGAAAAGCTTTACCTTGCCCCTTATTTATGTTGTCCAATCGCGTGTGTGCGCGTGCAGGCGCGCAAACGCTCTTGTACAATGTTAGTAACTTTCTAATAATCTTTGTGTGCCATTAAGAGTGAAACAATGTTACAATTCTAGTAATCGGATGATGCAGCAATCGGAATTAGAATTTGAACTGCATTATAAATCCAATTGTTAGCGATACAAAAGATTGAAGACGTGGTACACCTTTTTTTAAAGTGTCGCGCTTTTAAAAGAGTGTTGCGCTTTTTTTTTTTAAAAAAAAATGTCGAAATGATACCATCCCTGAATTGCAACGCGAAAATCATAGTCTTCAAATGGGATACAAACAGAACCCATTCAAATGTGTAATTTTGGACAGTAGCACAGACCCAATTACATGTATTCTTTATGACCAGCCATTACCAAGAAGGAGCTATTTTTGCATGTCTCGGTGCTCCCTTCAAACCGAGTGGGCAGCTCGATCTAGAGGATTTAATTCAACGCAATATCCCCAAGGCTCTTGCAATGATGAAAATCCTGTCATCTGTTGGCGTGGATCCTTCCGGTTTCTCCAAGCCTCTTTGACCAGGTTTTACAAGTACGGCCTAGCTATCAATTGCTTCGCGGTCTCTCAACTCCACGCTCTAGAAGAAGTCCAGAATAATTGCATCAAGAAAATTTACGGTACTCAAGGCAAAGCGTCCACTAAAGTTATGCTCCATATGTCTAAGCTGTTCCCCATGTCGGAACGAGTCAGTATATTACAGGCACAGCTCCTCTTTGGCGTATTTGATGAGACAGCCATTATAATAACTCGAGTGTAATCTTACGGTAGAACATACATCCTACTTTACATTTCTCTATCGTATTTGATAAGAGTGGGGATAAGAGTACTGACAACAATAGCATAAGCATATATAATTGCACTGACGACATTAATGTAAATAACAGTCATAGATTATCTCTCCCTATAAAACACACACGCGTCTTATTTCAAGAATACTCCTTACTTCTTTTCAATAAGAATCTAACTCGCAAGTTGTCGACTTGATAGCCTTTTTACAATAACAAAGCTGAGTACAACAATGGAACTATTATACACTACCAAAAAAGCACGGCAACCATTCCTACAACTCCATCTCAGATGTCCCAAGCTGTTTCCTTCCTGCTCGTAGTGATGTCTTCACAAGTGTAGTTGTTATTTTTGTTATTTTTTTCGTACTTACCAGTTAATAGAGGGCCATTATACCTAACTTCAAAAAATTGGAAATTATATGTGAAGCCGGAGTACGGGGTTCTGTTGATTTCCTGGCGCCGCTGCTGGGAGGTGAAGCCAGCAATACGTTTTTCAGAAGTGATTCACTCTTGTCCTCACAAAGCAGCGAGGAATATACCAGCAGTGAACAAGACCCAATCAACAGTGAAAATAACTGGATAGAAGCAGGGCAACCATAAAGAGTCATGAAGCTGATTGATGACAACATTAAAGGGATAAGCTTCGATGATGTTTTAATTTGTGAAGACTGGGAGGATATTCTTTGTTTTAAAGAAACTGGTGTTTAAATTGTTTTTCTCTCGAATTATATGCTCTCGCTATATATTTTTTTTATCAAGATTACATATGAATATACCATTGTTGATATTTTTTATATATAAAAGCTTAAATTCAAAAATTGTCCTATTTGACCTCTCAAATGTTATCAGCATTCTTTACAATCTGGCATGGTTAAGATAGAGAGGACAAGATATATGAAAGAATGCATAGACTGTTATTCTGTTACTAATAAATCGGCAACACTGCCAATAAGCTTCATTGCGAGCTACTTTATAATAATAATCGTACAAGGATGAGGCTCTCGGTCTAAACTGACCAAAAAAATTCAAACGCTGAACCAAACTAAAGCAGACTATGGAAAACGAGCTTATTTCTTGATAGCACCTGACATGAGAAGAAGACGTTGACTTATACTCCTTATCAATACAGCGATAGAATTATGTTGTGCTTTTCTTTCTTTATTTAACAGAAAGATAGGTATCGCGATCTATGACCAAGCGTTTCTTTAAATCTACTCTAGTAGAACGTGTCCCTCATATTTCACAAAACAGCCAGATGAAGATAAGGAAATGGTTAGTGAGTCAACTACCATTTCTATAAAAAAAAATCAAAATAAATCAAAAGACAAGTTGAAGTGACAAAAGATTACCAAGACTCCAACAGCAGTAAATGTAACTGTTGGAGGTATGACTTCAGTGATGAGGAGGACTATTCTGAATTCAAACCTCATTCTAGAAGGAAACTTTATTCTTTAATACAGCAATAGGTGTAATCTAAAGAAGAGATTTTATTCCAGCAGGAGGCGACCAGTAAACAATCGACCGCACGTCCACTACGAGCAATATAAAGTTTTCATAGGCTTTTTCCAATAGTGGCTGTAATTGACTATGTTGAAACCAGCCATGCTGATCTATACCTTCTATATCTAATTGTTTAATATCAGGTGCATCTGTCTCATCGAGCATATCTCTTCTTAAACCTGCGTCAAGCTGAATAAATTGACGCAATCGTTCTGCTTCCCAACAGTTTATCTTTTTATGTCTGTTGAATGCTTCCAATGCCAAACTAGGCTGAGTTGTTGGTGCTATTGAGGATGAAGAAACGGCTGTGTCCCAGTCACAGATGGGGACCTCTCCCTTTTTGATGATATAAACAATGCCACGAATACGAAACTGGCTGACAGTTCCGTTCATATACCTGCCTTAAACATAAGCCTTTTGATTATATATACATGCTGTGTACGCGCATACCAATTAATTTCCACATTTGGGTTATTTTCTATCTCCTTCATCTTTTCAGTTCTCTTATCAGTGGTGATGACTAATAGGTCACTTGTCAACCCTGTTTCTTCTTTATGATGTTCAGCAACAAACCCTCGCATGACAACAGTGCGAACAGCGGGCGTATTGTCCAGTCTAACGGTAGCTAAGGATGCATAAGAAGCAGATAAACCTATTTTTTCTATATTTTGATTTAAAGTAGATTTCAAAAATGATTTCCAAGACATTAAAAAAAGGCAAAAAAAGAGAAACAATACCCCCAGCGCTAAAATGCGTGGTGTTTGTCATACAGAGCCATGATGAAAAAATATGCCCGAAGAAAAAAGTGAAGATTAACTGTTTGTTTTCACTCTATTACAGTTTACTCAACTTTTTCAAGTGAAAAAATATTATAAAGATTAAACTTAGCGTATATTGATAACATAAAAATATAATAAATTAAGAGGGTCAGCATTAACGACGAACAGTACCACTACGTCCAACTTGTTGATAAAGCTTATCCAATTCAGATTCCAGTTGCTTAATTTGTGCATGTTGCGTTTCCAAGTCTTTATTCAAACGATCTCTTTCAGTAATCAACTAATAAACAGTGAATACATTGTGATATCACTGCCTTTGCATCATCTTTTTACCTGCTGTTCCCATTCTCTGAATCGTGTTTCTTCAGTCTTGACTTTGGCAGTAAATGATCTTCGAAGCTCCTCTTCCTTTTCACGGAATTTAGGGTTTTCGGGTTTCTTTGTAACTCTTTTTATATGATTAAAACGATGAACCACCTGATACTATTCACTTACTTTGGTTCACCAAATTTACGAGTTGCCATTTGTTGCTGTCTGTAGTTCTCATAATGAACATCTTCAGTTGTTGTCATTAAATCCAACATATGCGTACGAATCAACAAGTTTCTCAGCTTTTTGAAGTCACAGTGCTCCTCATTTTCTACTTCGGCTACACCCCAACTGTATTCTCGACCTCTGACCTTTCGGCCATCCGCTGTTTGAACGATATTGGTAGAACCAATGATAGCATAAGGAAAGGCATCTGCAATGCTCTTATTACGTTTTGTCGTTTCTTCGTCTTCACTTTCAATAGGACAGCTATAGATTCTGATATGATTGGCTTCAATTGCTTGACGAACCTAGATGAACAGATTAGAATGTGATGTATGATGTATAAAAAGTATTACATTTTGCTTGAATTGGGCCAAATCCTTGGGTGTCAATGTATCTGCCTTTGCGATCACTGGGATCAGATTGACACGAGAACTGAGACGCTTCATGATTTCAATGTCCAATGGCTTTAAACTAAAATGTGGATCAATAGATCTTATGAAATCAACAATAACAGACTTTACCTATGTCCAGTAGGTCGAATGAAATAAAGACATGCATGAACACGCATATCAATCTTGCCTTGTCTCATTGGCTGCTGTTCCTGAAGCATAAAACTTTCATGCTGGTCATCAATAAATTCAATAATAGGAACCCAGCTTTCTCTGTTGTTCACATAATCACCAAATCCAGGCGTATCAATCACGGTCAACTTGACTCTAAACATCCTTTCCTCGAGTTCTACAGAGAATGAGTCTTTTTGTTTGATGTCTTGACTTTATATTTACCTGCTTTAGTTATCTCAATCTCGACTGTTCTATCCAATTGCTTTTCATGCCTTTTTTCATGCACTTTATGGTTTTTGATGGTTGTAGCAAAAAGCGTGTTGATAAACGTGGTTTTACCGAGTCCAGATTCACCTAAGACATAGCAATGAGCAACTAATAGCATTAGAAAGAGACAGAAAAAAAGCTTCTTACCACAGACCATCAAAGTAAAGTGAGCACCTTTCTTAGATATGATACGGTGCTTTTGGTTGGGTAAATGAGCAATACCAATACCAGATGAAGACACAGTTAGAGTAGACATGTTGAAGGTTTAACAGAAAAAAGACATCACTGGTCTCTGACTTTAAAGTTTGAGTTACAACAAGAAAAGAGTTGATGTGATTGGCTACAACTGTGTGTCCTGAATAAACTATTTTCATACACACATACACACTTTAGGAAGAAGACCCAGAGCCTCTTTCTTTATCTATTTATGGTAATCTATTCAGAATGAATGCTTTTGTATATGACGATAGATTGAGAAATCTTATGAACAAAGATGAAAATGAGAGCCGATTTGGAAGAGTATCCAAAGGATAGTGTTACCAGTTATGATCAAGAGTTACTTATGTAACCACTTGCTAAAAGCCACTTATGCTTCAACAACTAATTACACGATCTATGGTGACCGGTTTCCCTACCAGAAAGATGAACATTAACTAGACGCTAGCTCCACCAGGACATTCAACTCCTGTATTTCATTTACCGTCACCGTCTTGCCCACGTCTGGAATCCCTTTTCTTCTTGCCAACTGAAATGATGAAGTTAGGATTATTAATAAATATAGAGCTTTCCTTTACAATGTGGTCTGAAGCATCAAACTGACATGAAAAAACATACTCATCGATGAAAATACAATTGCTTTAGCAATCCATATCTGCTGCCATAAGACGGGTTACTCGGTTGAATCGTGCAGTGATGCTTTCTGGTGAATTTCTTTCTTTGAATGCAAAATGTGCTTACTTGATTGTCGAAGCATACTCATTAGTCGTAATGCCATGAAAAGCGGCTTTAGCGACTTTCAAGCTTATAAAATATCTACTAACAAACTCTTCCAAGCATAAAGATATTTACCGAGTATCTATTCTTCTGTTGCATCTCCAAATTGAAGATCAAAGGAAAATCATAGAACTTTTGAAATTGTACAAAAGAAGAATTCGTTCCCATCGTTACTTTATTTGCGTCATTTGATAAACTTGAAATAGACCAACACGTTTATTATCTTGAAAGCAAACAAATATGACACTGCACAAAATCAAAATAATACTCGCACGCAAGAAACGTTTCATAACGACAACAATGGCAAGATATCATCTATCAAAGCATAAATTTGGGCGCATGATATAAAGAGCCCCCCTAGTAAAAAAGGAGAGCTTAAAATGACAATGTAAGATCAGGCCAGCTGTTAGTGCAACCCATTGCACAGTATACAAAATAAACCATGACATTCTTCGGTTTGTGTTACAATTAAAAGTGGCCTTATGCGATTTCAGAAAAAGAGGTGAGATTTTATTATAAATACAAACAAAAGAAACAAGAATGAATAATGGCAATGACAGTAATGATGATTAGATGATATGTGTGTGTGTGTCTATGAGTTACTATGGTTACAGATGAATATGTATTATTTGCAAAGTGGGGCATCAGGAAGATCGGCGACGATAGCATTTCTTCTCCTTAGAGTATAAACAGGTAATTCGATAATTGTATCATCAAATAAGGTCAGTGTTGCTTTTGCTCTTGGACTTCTTTGTAGCCATTGAGCGATAGACGAAGAAGATAAATAGTCTCTGTTTGCTTCTTCTAATATCGTATCGCCATCTTGAATAGAATGAATATAAGCACAAGGGTGAATGTAAAGTTCAGACATTGAAAGTTAAGATAAAGTAATAAAAAAGAAGAATAAAAATGATCATTTTTATATTAAAACTTTAAGTCCCTTCTCTTTATTCCAAACAGGTTATTTTTTGGTGTCTTTTCTCACTTTTCCTTTACAAGTAAAATAGACGCGGATGTTATACCATTTATATCCTCTCGTACTCTTTGCCCACGGGATGTCACAGCCACGTGGATTGGTTAAAGCGCATGGCATTTTGATAAAAACAATAATAGGAAAACCACTAAGAATGAAAAAAAGCATGCCTTTTTTAAAAATAATATGAAAATGTTTAAAGACTTGTTTAACAAAAAATTTCACATTAAAGAAAATAAAGTTTGCATAAATGGTTACAAAGTTTATTCACCACACATCGGGGTTACTTTTTTGCCCTTTTCCTCTTTTTGGCTTCTGGAGATACAGTGTTTCGCGTTTAAAATACAAAAATTAGGAGGTAAAAATAAAAAATCCTAAGTCCATGTTCGAATCCGAATCCAATCTCGACAGTCCTTTTTAGTAGCTTTCTTGGCTGCTTCTTCAATCCTATCAGAAGCGATTTCATTTTTACCGAAGATGTTTTTTGTACGCTACCCTTAACCCTACTTGTTTTGTTTAATCTTCTAGTTCTTCTAAGTCTACTCGATCACATAAAAAGCCACCAAAAGGGAGGTGATGGTAAAATATAGTATTGCTCATAGTAAGTAGCAGTAAGCTATTTTAAATAACTATTAAATTTTTTTAAAAAAATCCCCCTCTCTTAAATAAAACTTATTTAATCGTTATTCTATAATTTTCGTGACAACTGGATTTTCACAGGGCTTTCTAATATACATGGTGATATCTTCACCTTTCTCATCTTCCACAATTCTTCTATACAGACTGCCCATTGCTCTTTTTATGATAACTTATTTGAAAGATATGAGTATATAAATCGTACATGATTGTTAGTTTAACCAATAACTGCCTTTAATTGATTTACCTTTTCAATTACAGCAGGTAAAGACAAAATACTATAGTTGACAAAAGGAGGACAGAGGATGTGGTATAAACTCTTCGAGCCGCGCTTTTTTATTTGAAAATATATAAAATAAACAAAAAAAGTGTAGACGATCTCTTTTAACCCTTTTCCAAGCTAAGCATTCTATTTTTTCTTTTTTTTTTTTGGTATAAAGGATGGGCAAGTTAAAGATACATAAAAAAATCTTTCATACCATCTAGGTTGGGTGACCACATCTTCTGCTCCCCTTTCGTCAACTATAGTATTGCTTGACGTGCCTAATCCAGTTCCAGTTGACTTCAGTCGGACTTCGGATATGGTATGATTTTCAGTACAAAAAGAAAAAATGGTATTGTATTTAAATTTTGAAAATAGATTTAAACAAAGTAGAAAGCACGATGAGACTGTGTGTATCTTTATTCGGAATAAATTGAAGAGAAAAAGAGATAATAGCACAATCTATAATTATACATTAAGAAGCTGAGGTATTTAAACTGAATTGGCTATATTTGATTAGGGTGTAACAGATCATATAGTAGCATTAGGTTCAACTCTAGATGTTATATTTAAGCACTGAATGGTAACGTGGGTACTACAAATGGAATCGGTAATCTTCTTGCTGTCAGCGTACTGGTGAGGTGATTTGTAGTAGAACTGTTCGGATGTGTTGGCAAACAGACTCCAATTGGCATGCTTCTTTACCTTATCTATCTCATTACCTACTTCGGCAGCCTTCTTGCTGCTTGCTGAATGTATTGAATGTGGGCCATATACTTTCGTATCTATCCCTGCAGCTTGCATGTGTCTCTTGACAATACTCGCTACTGAAATTGAATGAGTGAGCAAAGTTTTCTAGGTTCCATCAAGTATGCCAGGAATAACGAATGATCCTCAAGGAGCTCGTGACGAAGGTATTCGGCCTTGGTTATAAATAGCCATGTCGTTCTTACTGGGCGCATACAATTGTCAACGCTATACGTTCCATCCCATTACAATCCCGCCGACGCTCCGTCTCGTCAGCTCACGTTTCAGAACGAATGGACCTTGCCAGAGAAGGCTTTCCTCCGGCTGGACCGCTTGTGGGGTTCTCACCACCTAGGCCTATTCGCCACACATAAGAACGCCAAGATTCCGCGAGTCTTTGTGTCATGGACATACCATCCGCAAGCTCTATGGACTAATGCCTTTTCGTGGAATTGGACCGCTTTCTCCGGACGACTATACCTTGTCCCTCCATGGAACATGATACTACTCATCTTGCAGCCGTTGGCCAGCAACCTCAGCCAGCGACACTCATCAGGCCCAACCGGCCGTCCGCTTTGTGGTTTCCACTGGCTCTTCAATTGGCGCATCAACCCCTCTGATCCTCCTTCAAGAGGATCTGGTAAACGACACCGATCAGCATCTTCTTAGAAAGAACTCCAGTTGGAGTATGTTAGCGTAGAACATCTCGCCAAACGCTTGAAACACTCTCCTTTGTCATCGTCCGCTTTAGCCATCATTTCTTCCACAGCATCCTCTACCCGACGACAGTACCACTTTAGGCAACAGAACTACGCTACGTGGTGCTCTGCACGTCAACTCAACTATCGGGGCCCTTCCCCGCAACAAATTATCAACTATTTAGCAGACCTTCACACCACTCACGACCTCAAGCTGTTGCGAATACTTAAGGATTATAGCAATAAACATAGAACAATTAGAGCCATGTTAAGCATAACCTGAGATTCAATGCATTAATCCCAATTCAGGGCCGCATAGCCTTGATTAGATTTTATTGTATTCAATTGTACACTTCTTTGGCACATAATAACTGATGTAGCCAATAAGAACATACTACCTGTTACTGCGCACTGGATAAATAATATTTGCTTGACAAACGTTGCTAGGTTATGGTGTGATTTGATT